CCGAAAAAGTTCAATCCAGAACCGATCCGGTTGATCCGATTGCCACCTCTACTTGTAATAAGGAGTCCCCTTTCAATGTTCCTCTTTTTTCTTTTTCTTTTTCTTTTTTTTTTTTTTGAAAAGGAAAGAAAATATTCAAAATTTCAATTGAGGTAGTCTTTCAAAAGGAAAGAGGTTGATTTAATGATTATATCCGCTTTCCTTTCTTGAGAAAAAGAGAGTTTCAAAATACTCTATTGTTTCAAACGTGATCAGAATAATACCAAACAAAACACAATTAAATTTATATTAAATAGTATTAAAATCTATCTCTTTTTCTAATATAGTATTTAAAACTTTTTATTTTTTAAATAGTATTTGAATTATGTCAAATGGTAGAAACAATGTTCACTGGCGTTGGACATTTAGTTTAAATAAAGTTCAGTAACGGTAAACAATTACTTGAACAATGTCTAGGAAAATTTATACTACTCCCTTCGTCCCAAATTATAATGCTTATTCACTATTCATAGTGTCAAACTTTATTCACTTTCTTTCTCTATTTTCGTAGCAATTTGATAAAATAAAGTATTATTGTCACTACTAGTTTTATATCTTTTGATGTAGTATTTTAATATGTAATTTTTATTTTTTAACTATATACCATTTGTCATATAAAATAATTTGAAAATAATTTCAGTCAAACATCGTAAACCACAACAGCCGTTATAAAATGGGACGGAGGGAGTATATTGGAAAACTTGCTATATTTTAATACTCCCTCCGTCCCAAAAAATCTTTCCTGTTTACTATTACAGTCTCTCGATAACTTTTATTTGTTTGCGTGTTTTCATTGATCATTTGATAAAATAAAATATTCTCGTCACCTCTTATTTTTTTAGAGTTTTTGATGTAGTTTTTAAGTACAATTTTTATGTTTTATTTCCTTACCAATTTGCAAATAAAATCATTTTAAAATTCACGGGATTTTGCACGTTAATCAAAGTAAGAAATTCTTTTTGGGACGGAGGGAGTACTATATAAGTAAATTCTCAAAAAAAAAATCAAACAATCTTATCATATTTTTTCTAAAATTTAATTCTTCTATTTTGTCTATTCTATAAAATAATATCACTCTTTTTATCTTTTTATTTGTTGCATACCATAATAATAGAAAAAATAGGCACAATGCTAACATAAGTTTTTTGGTACAAAATAATCTTCTTTTCGTCAAGCTACATCGAATAATCTCACATGTTTAAGTGGTTGCATACATAGCACCAAGGCTAATTTCACTACTAAGAGTTGAACATAAAACTCATAATGCGACTCCACACAACCTATGGTGGGATTGGTGGCAATAAATTGATAATTTGGTCTCATGGATTTCTATAAGAAGCAAAGGATTACTTCTACACATCTATGAAACCTTGTCGTAACAACATGACATGTGTGCATTAAAAACTCACAATTCAAGTTTTTGAAAACTCTCAATCTCAAGGGTCAAGATAAATACTCAATTTAATTCAAATTCAAGATGGCTTACCATGATAAAAATAAAACCTATTTATAGGCGTACTTACAGTAAACTACGAGCTAATTAAACAAATGAAAATACAAATATTAAAAATAAATCTTATTAAATATCCTAGTACATGCTAAAGTCCTCATAATCATGAGTTATATCCTAGTACACAAGTCTTCATAGTACTCGTTCATTAAGCAGTCAGGGTTCGATCAACCTTGCACCGTCGTCAGAAACTTTGGGCAATGCAATCTATGGTGAATGAAGATTGGAGAACATAAGGCAATTGATCGTGTTCATGTTATGGTCTAATGCTTGTACCACTTAAGTAGTGAATTGAAGCACTGTATTAAAAACCTATTTCCTGAAAAACTGCTTGTCAAGGCCCATCCAGCAACATGGCTGAACATTGGCCCCATATTTTCTTGCTCTTCAAAAAATCATATGGGGTGTGATCAACATCATTGAAGGTGGTTGACCCAAACATGATTTTCAGATTAAGGAATTCAAAATGTTTTCTGGTTTGAGCATTGGTTCTACTAATGCTCTAACAAAATCTTTTCATTAACCAATAAAGTATCATTGTGAAAAGAGGATGCACATTTATGGTGAGTCAATTCATAATTAAAAGCCACAAAAATAATTGTTATTGGTGCCTGACACAAAAACCAGACTTTATAATGAAAAAGAATTTCAATGAGAATGCATCCATAGCAAGAACTTAAGATCTTCATCCTTTTCAAAATTAAGAATCTATTCTCTTTAACTTATTAAGCTTGTCATTGTCAAATTCAATAAAACCAGATCAGGAAAATAAGCTCATTGTCATATAGGCTACAGACGGGCCACCACAGGATTGGAGCACAAACGATTTCTAGATTATTTAACAAATGCAGATCCCATTTGTGTCTTTCATTCAAATCAAATAAAAAACAACATCAACTCAATCTAGAACCAAATCAGACCAAACTTTAACAAAATTCAAATCAAAACCGATCAAATGAGAAAAAGATCAAAGACTCTAATAAGATAAAAGTTTGGTAAATGTAATAGGGTTGCATATATGTTGACACTACCTTAATAAGATAAAAGTTTGGTAAATGCAAATCAAAACTGATCAAAAATGACAAAACAAAAAATGAAATTTAATGAATGCATGCGGAAGGCCACATGTGAATTTGGAAGTTATTTTGTGCAAATTGAGTAAAGACGAAAATAATTCAGGGAAAACTTATGCCAAAAAAACAAGAAACAGATGGTTTAGTTGTTCCGATGCAGTAATGTTTCAGGAGACAGGTAACACGAAACGAGTTAAATGAAATCGCCGTGCTGTTTAATTCTGAACATTTAATTTATATATGCTTCTGGAAAAAAGAACACGCCCAACTGATTCAAGCTTCTGGGGAGTTCACAGATCAAGAAATGAGAAAGAAGCAACCCCCGCATCAATTACACAGACAGAAAGACGATGTACCATCCAAGAATGGCCAGCAACGGTTAAAGATAAAAACCGAGAGCTGGCAAAGTGAAAGGGATGGAATCTCCATGTCAGGGACTCACTACTTCCCTTGAGCAATTCGCGATTTCTTGCTCAAGGGGCAAACGTTTAGTCCCACAGATGACAATGAACCCAAAAAAAATAAACATAAAAAACTCAATTCAATAAAAGTACTCATTCTAATCGAACTGGAAACCCTTGTAAACCTTCAGCAACCGTAATTGGCCGACACCAAATCAATAATACGGAATATATGGCAGTAGTAAGAACTTAAAACACACAGTCGTTCCAGCGGGTACGGATGCATACAGGTTCTTGTTTGATGAAGGGTGAATATATACATATACGTAATAGGGTTTGTGGGAGGACGACGACGACGAAGAGGTGTTATTTTTTGGGTGACCCGCTTGGTTTGGGCTAATAGGCTGAGCCCAGCTTTAGAGCTTGTGTTCTTTCAGCCTTTTACAATACAAGGAGTAATTAATAACAGGAGAACCCCACATGACATGGTAGAGAAGTATTGTTGACTTAGAGCATGTTCTTTAGGACTGTAAAAGAAGAGCTTGATATTGGAATAAACTGAAAAAAATTAGAAGGAACTGAAAGAAACTGGAAAAAACTGGAAGGAACTGGAAAAAACTGGAAGAAACTGAAGGAACTGGAAAAAACTAGAAGGAACTGGAAGAAACTGGAAAAACTTCAAAAAATTAAATAACCTACAAAAACTTTAAAAATATTTATTTTAAATTCTTGTTGTTATAAATTATTATTATTATTATTATTATTATTATTATTATTATTATTATTATTATTATTATTATGATCATCATCATCATCATCATCACCATCATCATCATCATCATAATCATAATTATCATCACGTTATCTTAGTCAATGTCTTTAAGATATAAAAAAAGTATTGTTATTTTTAAAATACAAAAAACTACTTTTGCAAAAAATAATTATAATATAAAGTTAGCATAAATATAAAAATATTAAATTTTAAGAAGTCTTTGTAGTTATATTGCACCTCAATTTATTTATGCAGTATTTATTATAAATCATATATTTGTAATTATAATTTATATATTAAAACATTTTATTTTAAATATCATACATGTCACATAATCAAACCTATTGTTTCTTTCATGATTGACATTTTATTTTCATTAAATTCCTATTTTTGGAATAAAGACATATAACTTTTTTGTTTACATTTTTTATGTTTTACTCATATTTTAGTCTTTTTTCTCTAAAGAACAGGCCCTTAGAAAGCACAGGTTTGAAACTCAGCGTCACTTTTGATTGAATCAGTTCCTTGACAGAGTAGGCTCCCATGGATGAGATCCATATATCCACTTAATGCCAATCTATCTAAATATGACTTTTAGACCAAGAATATAATTTTTCCTAGACATATGATCTCAATTGGAAGTATGTGTGGAACCTACAAAGTACAACAATTGTTGATCCTAATATTTATTTGGTGGATACTTTCAAAACTTTGTCCAAAGTCTCATCATGTTTTTTTGGGAGGGGGGGGACAGGGGAAGCCCGAACAAACTAGCTCCAAAATTTAAAAGCAACTGTCGTGATAAAGTCATTTTCAAGGAAGACTTTGCTGCCTTCTGGGGGTGTACGAAATTCAACCCAATCACACCCAGTCGACAACACAATTAGATTCAAGGAAGTATAACTTATATTCACTCTCGAATCTCTGGCAATTCAATATTTGCATCTCTTAACAAGAATGCCACATTGTCCCAATGTTTGTTTTCCCATTTGTGGGGATCAAAAACTTGTGAAACTTAGTCCAAATACTGCTTTAGTCATGTTGAAAACTTGCACTACGTTTTCAAGACTAAGATATGTTAAGTATATAATGTTACATGCAAAAAATCATGGAATTTGGCATGATGAAAATCTGCCTCAACACAAAGAATGAAGGCTACATATTTAGACCAAAAAAAAAAAAAAACAAAATGAATCCTTCATCAAAGGAATCTCAATGTGTACGTTGTCAAGAAGCTCTGCCCGTTGCCAGTTCATATCTACACAGCCCTCCATCATATATTGAGTAGTGTATGTCAAGGAACGAATCCAACTAAAAGCTCAGACTTGTGGTTGTGGCCTCGGAGAGTTTTTTTGTGTTCAACCAAAGAACCTCGGGTTTCTTTTTTTATAATATTTCTCTCCTTTCTCGTTGTGGCAAAAGAATATTGTTGTTTGTACTGAGTGAGTGAGTCAGTCATCACAACTCAATCCACACACCTCCAGCACAGGCCCATCTCTTGAGACGAAGGGGTTGATTCTTACCCACAGCAGGGTCAACACTGAAGCCAGCAGGATTGACCAAACAATGACTATGGTGGGTATCCTGTCTTGCTTCCCCAGCAACCCTTTGAGGAATGGGTACAGATGCATGATGACCCATAGGGCAAAGAAGAGCCTTCCAAAGAGGGGCCCCCACGAATCGTACCCGTTGTTGATGGCATCCGACACCCCTACCACAATCCCCACCGTGTTTATTACCAGCAGGGTTGTCGGGGGTATCAGTAACGACGTCCACTTGAAGACGTACAGCTCAGAGAAATCCATGCCGTCGTCCCCTCCTCCTCCTTTTGAGGTGACTGTGAAGTTGGTGTCGACGCCAGCTAAGACCTTGAGCAAACCCTGGAAGAGTGCAAAGAGGTGGGAGGAAGCACCTCCTATCACCCAGAACTGCTCGTTTCTCCACCAGTCGTCTATCCCAACCCCACCCCATTGCATCTCAACGATTCCTGTTGCAGCTATCGCCATGAACATAGCCATGAACAGAATGCTCCCGTAATTACTTATCTGTATACATATATATCACACATCAACAAACACAATATATAGAGGCATCTCACATCCGGATACATTAAACCCATATTTCACTCAACTAATATTATTACAGCCAGCATATAGCCACATACATACCTCAGGAACAATGAATTTTCCAGTGAGTAAGCAGATGGCGGGCAAGGAACAGTAGACAATCAAGGGAAGGGAAGTAAAGGGATAGACAACGGAGTTGATGTAGGAGAAGCGTTCCAACCAATTCAAGCCGCCTCCGTACCCATACCATATCGGGCAGTGCTTGCTCATGAAGATCTCAACAGACCCAAGGGCCCATCTCAGAACCTGGTGGAGACGGTCTGAGAGGTTGATAGGGGCTGACCCCTTAAATGCAGGGCGCTTTGGGATGCAGTACACCGACCGCCACCCACGGCAATGCATCTTGAACCCTGTCAATATATCCTCCGTAACCGATCCGTATATCCACCCAACCTGCCCACCATTCACTTTTCTCAATTCTCATTCATAAACGCCCAACAACTAGCTTTATTTATTTGAAAACAAAAACAAAACAAAACAAAACAAAACAACTACCTCCTTTCCCCATTCAGTTTTATCTTCATAACCGCAGCTGATCACATGAATGGCCTCTTGTAATAGAGCTGTGCTACTACTACTGCTGCTGCTAGCATCCTTCCCAACGCCTCCATTTTCTGCCACAAGTGTTGACGCTATAAACACTGGAGATTGCCCAAACTTCTTCTCCAATGCTGTTTGTGAAGCAGCAGCAGCATGAGATGATTGATCGTCACCTACCCCGACATGGAAAATAGAACATTATTAATCAAGTCTACTATTAATCTATTATATCTATAATAACACACAATAAGTTCGTATTTGTGTATTCATTTTACAATACTACTGGTATTACCTTCTTCAATTCCTTCCTCAATTGTTTCAAGCGCGTGAATCTGCTTTGAAGTCTCCCCTCTGTGTTTCTTTTTCTTCTTCCTCTCTGTCTTTGTTTTCCCTTTATTGGCCTTCCTAGACCCACAGCAGAAGCAGCACAGTTTTGACCAGCAATTGCATGTCCTGTTAGCTTTCTTCTTCTTCGCGGGAGCATCATTTCCATATAGTGCTTCCCTTCTGAACACACACCCCGTCCCCACATATATCGGTCCTTGCAACCCATCTAAACCTTTCATGTTTATCTTTTTTTAGGACAATGATAATGATAATAATCAGTACATGCCCGAGAAGGGAATATAGTAACAGTAATACAGCATGTTAAGCCCAAAGAGGGGATGGGAGGGAGTGAGAAACGGGACACTTACATCAAAAAACACGACATTCCTGTTCGAGTATCGATCATGCCGATCAATCCCGTCAAACCTTTGAGGAAACTGAACATAACAAATCTTTTTTCCTGAAATGGGGTCCATAAGGAAACACATGGCTTCTCTCAACGCCTTGCTGTTGTTGATATAGTGGTCACAGTCGACGTTCAGAAGGAAAGGGGCATTCGAGATTACAGCCGAAACCCTCACCTGACATCAAATACTCCATTTTAATTAAAGAGAATATTCAAAGCTTGTAGCACGCGGAAAATGCATTAAGTGGTGAGTACCAAAGAGTTCATGGCTCCTGCTTTTTTGTGATGATCAAAGCCGGGTCTCTTCTCACGAGAAACATAAACCAATTGAGGCAACTCTTTTCCTTCTATATCCTTAATGCCTTCTTGACCAAGGAATACCTAAGGGTCAAAACAGAAAAAATAAAAACTGGGTGAAAGAATTATTCAAATTCCTTTCTAGGAGTAATGATTCACTTAGCCCATGTTTACCTGGATCATACCAGGATGGTCCCTGACATTGTTTCCAGGCCAAGGGGTACCGTCTTGCATCGTCCAACCTTCATCTGGGACCTTTTGGGCCATTGCAACCAAACCATTTATCCTAACTTTGAACTCTTCGTACTCTCTCTGCATGCAAACAGGATAAACACAATCAACAAACATCGAACCCGTCTCCCGTCTCCCGGAAGAAAAGGTTCAGATTGGTAAGTATAAATGTATGGGATGAAAAGGAAGACCTTCATTGCACGCCGCTCTCTTACAAAATCTGGATTAACTTTGTTCTTTAGATAATCAATTTTCTGAGAAAAATACCATTCTGGAGCCCGAGGTTCAATGCTGAATTTTTTGCAGAAGGGGACCCATCTCCTAGCAAATTCAGATGTCTCAGAAAGAGCTTCAAATGTAAGCATGGCAGCACCATCATCCGAGACATAGCATGAAACCTTTTCAACTGGATAATCAACTGCTAGAATAGATAAAACGGTGTTTGCAGTTATCAACGGAGGCTCTTTCATGGGATCGACTGTACTCACAAAAACATCAATTGGAGCCAATTCAGATGGCTTTCCTTCTTTCTCATACCTAAAGAGGAATTAATTAAGTATAAGAAGTGAACATCTTGAGACCTTCAAGTTTAGAAAAGACAAAACTTTAGCAATTGATGGTGGGTGGTTTGTTTTTACCTAAGCGATAGGCGATCCAGATAGGTTTCTCTGACCAGTGGGCACCATTTTGGGAACTGATCAAGAATCCATGATACTGCAAACCATATCTCACAAATAACTGAAGTCAACCACAACCCATAGGCATCATCAACTGGATGGAGAATCCTATATTGGAAAAAGAAGCCAAGAATGACAAGGCGCAGAATGATGAGTATCCTGTATGGATTTATTTTGCTAGAAGCAATGGGCATTTTCCTTGACAGTGGCTGTCTCCCTTCATCCATCCTGAGAAAATGTCATCCAACAAACTCGTTCATTTAAGTAACCATTCAGCAGAAGGAAATATTTAGAAAGAAGTCACTGCAGTTCAGATTTGTTAAAGATACTACTTACATGGGCAAACCAGGATCATCAAGTTCATTACTGTACCCTTGATGCTTGACTACTTGAAGTTTGCTTCCTTGGTTCATCTTCCACGCCTCCATGCGTTCCTTCCATGCCACACTCCCATAGCCATACAATGCAATGTCCTTCTGTGGAACCATTGGTCTACATTGCACTGAGGAAAAAATAATACGAGTAAAAAAGACTTACATGTCAAATGAAAGTAAATAAAGAAAGTGTGTGATGCTGGGGAATTAAATAGGTTCTGGTAAATCAATATAAATCTTACAAGATGCAGCTGAAGATACTACGAGAGCATGCTGACCATCAGAGATTGGAGCCTCCTAGAGAGAGCAAAAACAGTTATGAAGTTAAACCCACACTCATTGGATCACTTTCGTGGTTTTAACTTTTAATGATACACCCAAAAAAAGTTGAAAATGAATACCATTTCTCTATATGTCAATAATCCTATACTGGGTTCAGGTGTAGATGCTTCATCATTCCCAGATAAGCGTCCACGATAGCCAACAGAAGCAGGAATTGTTCCATTAACTACATTTCGTCCCAAAGCTTTTTCTTCTTCCCCTTTTCTTCCCAAAGCTTCAGTATCATCAGTATAAGCAAACTCGCGTTCCAAGTCATCAACATCATCCTCTTCCTCGTCTCCTTCAACCCGAGGACAACCTGCCACCCAGAAGGTATTTATCAACTTAAAACCAAATTTAACGGAATTGGTAGGACAACAATTTACCCACAGGATAAAAGACAATGCTGACCTTTGATACGTCTGTATCTAGTTTTGCACTGAGGGCAGGCTTGGCTCCCCTCTCTTCTCTCATACGAATAGCAGGGTCTACAAACAGGGAAAGCACACTCGTTGCACGCAACAAAGAGTTCTCCCTCTTTATCAATAATCTCCACTTCATCCCCACAAATTTTACATATTTGGCCACTTATTTCTTTCAGAGACTTTATCTGAACAAGAATTCAGCATGTCATAAGGACTACTCTAGAGCGGCATTAGACCATCAACTCATCACAATAGCTTCAAATTACACTAGCATAACAATTTAAGAAAAGGAACCAGATATTAGAATCTTACTTCTATCAAATCTATTTTTATATCACATCAGTCACTTGATTCTGTTTTCTTTAAACGCACAAAAACAAGGCAAATTATTTTACCCTTCAGCATGAAAGAAACCCCGGAATTATAACAACTTGAAAATGTTTTATATGGAAAAAAACTAATTGGGCTAGAACGTGCCAAATTGCAGACTTTTTGCAGCAAACACATACTTAAAAACCCATTCAATTGAGCTAGAACAAGAGGGAATAACGAATTAGGAGATTAAAAAATCTCTTTTAGAAGCTCCACCCCATTAGTCGTCAGATTACGGGGATGAATGAACAGTCACAGGCCAAAAAACATAGTCAAAATGGGATCAGAAAGACATTGAAATGAAACTCACTCTTCCAATGTCATCAGCATTGATGAGAACGAACTCATTCCTATTGTGAGAACCAGCAATCAGTCTTCTTCCAGCATTCGTAGCCATTTCCGATACCGGCGATTATTAAATCACAAAACCCCTTGAGATTTCAACAGTCTGGAGAAAAATAAAACTCCAAAATTCAATCTTTTGGCGTATTATTTAGTCGAGCATTCCAGGAGGCCGGGCAGCTATAGAGCTAAATAGACAAAGTAGTACGTAACCCCCCGATCAGAGGCGAAAGCCCAACGCTGAATATGGCAAATGCTCCTCCGTTTAAGACATACTACACTCCGTAAATATCACGGAGTATGGAACTCCCGGAGCTGCGAAATAATTTAATCCATAAATATTTGAGAAGGCTGACTTTACACCCATTGCAAGCTAAGGGGATTGACTGTAATTTAGCTGTCACTGCCTAAGAATTAAAAAAAAAGGTCACACGTTAATGTGGTACTTCATCCGTCTTAAAACGCTACACGGTCAAATAATATTTATTTTTTTAATTTATTTTCGTTAATTATTTGACAAAATAATATAATCTTGACATCTCTTCTTTTGTAGAATTTTTATGTAATTTTTAAATATATGAGTTATATTTTTTAATTTTTCACCTACAATCCTATAAATTGAATTGAGAATAAAATAAACCACGAACATGTACATTTCAAAAAAAATAGCAGTTAAAATACATTTACAATATCAATCACGAACATGTACATTTCAAAAAAATATAGTAAAATGTACATTTACAATGTCATACTACCACAATGCAAACTCATATTTAGAGAATAAAAATATGTACGGAGTAACTTTTATTTTGGCACTTTCTCAATGTTTTACTTCGATATGAACTAATTTAGAGAAAAATACAAGTATTTAAAATGAACGTAAAAGTGAGATTTTTTTTAAAAAAATACTCTTAGAATTATACGAGTTTACATAAATAAATTTAATAAATGACATCAACACTTCAAAAATTTTTCTATGTTCACATTGGTGTTTTGAGTATTGACGTGTTTACACTCAGTGCTCCAACATTTAGAGCACAAAAGTAAACATATACGGAGTATCAGTTTTCTGAGCAACAACATGAATATAAAAAATTTCGACAGCATTTGTGTCATTTAAAAAATGGCCAAATAGCTCTGGTGCCCCCTGTGGTTTAGAAAATTGGCACCAATGCCCCCTCTGTTTTCAAAACTTATTTCTAAAGTCTCCGTTGTTTCAAAATGTTGTACTCACACCTCCTCTGATCATTTTCAGGCCATTTTCTGGCGAAGAATGGGCATTGGCGCATAATTTCTTAACTATAGGGGGCATTGGTGCTCATTTCTTATTTTAGTTTATTATATGTGTTTTCCCTGTTTTTAAATATTTTGTATCTCTTTTTTCTTTTCCTAGATTTTTTTAAAAAAATATATTTTCAATTTTTATAATGTTTTAAAAATTTTAAAATTCTTTGTGTTTGAAATAAAAATAAAAATAATTAACATACATTACATCTATCTAAAATTAAACATTTTCACTTTTTGTTTTTGAGAAATTTTTTTTGGAAAGTTCAAAAAACCCAAAATAAAAAAATAAAAATATGGAAAAACGAAATGAAAAAAATTAAAATACGCAAAAAAAAGTCTTATACAAAAAACACTTGGACACGCCTAAAAAAGTCCTTAGAATTGAGATGTCCAAAAAAGATATTCATTTTAATTTTGTATTATTTTTTTCCTCATTTTTTCTAAGTTCTAAAAAAATTCAGAAAAATAAAAATTGTTAATTTCAGACGTACATATGCATTGTATTTTATTTTTTCAAACAAAAATAACTTTAAATTTTAAGAATATCATAAAAACAATTTTAAAAAACCCTAATTAATAAATGAAACAAAAATGGAAAAATGGAAAAAATAAAAAATAAAAGAGAAATAAAAATTAGCATTGATACCCCCTATGGTTTATAAAATATACACCAATGCCCTCTTCTTCGCCGGAAAAATGGCCGGAAAATAATCAGAGGGGGCACGAGTGCATCATTTTGAAACCACATGGACTTTATAAATAAGTTTTGAAAACACAGGAGATATTAATGCCTGTTTTGCAAACCACGAGGCGTGCCAATGCTATTTGTGCTGCTTAGCCCGATAAGCAGCAGGGTCGACAGCGACGAATCCAATATATCACGTGAAGTGAGCGCGTGTCTCAGGGTTTAGAGTCTCTCCTCCCTCATCTAAACTAAACCCTCGAAGAATTTGGGTTTGCCATTTCTGAAATGGAATGAAGCATTGAGCTTCCCATCATCGTCTCCTTCTTCCTTCTTCTGAAACTCCCAAAGTAATCATCGGCATGAAACCTCTCTTCCACAGACCCATTTTTACACTCGTTTTCCACACCCCAATTCCGGGGAGGAAGCTTCTCCAAGTCGCTCATCTCTCAACCGCCACCTCCCTGTCCTCGCATCACTCTCCTTACCAACACCGCCGGAACGAGGAGGATGTGCGGAACGTAAAGGTGTCTGTTTGGTGGGATTTCGAGAATTGTGCCTTGCCGTCCGGCGTCAATGTGTTTAGGGTCGCCTATAGCATCACAGCCGCCGTCAGGGCAAGCGGCATCAAGGGTCCCATCCAAATCACCGCATTCGGAGATGTTGTTCAGCTCCCGCGGGCCAATCAGGAGGCCTTGTCTTCTACTGGCATCAATCTCACTCACATACCCAGCGGTAAAGTTGTCTTCTTTATTACTGACTAGTATTCTCTTTCAATAGCCAGAGTGGATGGGCTCTTGGTCTATATATGGTGACTTGTTTTTTATTGTACTGCTGTGTGTGTTTCCTTTTTATGATGGGTACCCGAACACGCTGTGGAGGGCTCTGAATGTTATTAGATTTCATTATTTCAGGTGGAAAGAGCAGTGCGGACAGATCACTTCTTGTAGATCTCATGTATTGGGTATCCCAAAACCCACCACCGGCACACCTTTTCTTGATCTCAGGTGATACCGGGTTTGCAGGGGTTTTGCACCGGCTAAGAATGAACAACTATAACATCTTGCTTGCCAGTCCTGAAAACACATCATCTTCTCTCATTAGTGCTGCAAGTATCATGTGGCAATGGGATGCTCTGCTCCGCGGGGAGGACCTTACAGGAAAACATTTTAATCACCCACCAGATGGACCCTATGGTTCTTGGTATGGCCATTTCAAGGCACCCCTTGAAGACCCCTTTGCTGTTATGGAGTCTCTCCAGTCTAAGGACCCGTCATCTGATTCTGATTCGGATCCAAAACCCCGCCCTATCCCAAAGGTGGTTATGAAGTATATTCGAAATATCTTGTCCTTAAATCCCCAAGGAATTCTGATCACAGATCTCCGTGCTGAACTCTCTAAAAGCAATTTGAGTATTGATAAAGACTTTTATGGGTATAAAAAGTTTTCTCGTTTTCTTTTATCCATGCCACACATTTTGAAGCTTCAACCAAGTGGTAGTCAGTTTTTGGTTCTTGGTGTTGTCTCAAAATCTCCTGCACAAAACGAGTGTGGTTCAGTAGGCATAGCTGTTGACCCCATTGCAAACGTAACAGAGTCCGAGAGTGTAATGTCCAAGAACAACATCAAGAGCTCTTCCTCTGAGAGCTCAAACAGAATTGTATTACCATCTCCATACTCTGTGCCGAAAGTGGATACTCCATCACAGAAAGTGCAAGCACCCACAACTAAAGTACAATGTACCTTACCTAAGGTACAATCATCTGCACTAGAACAGCCGGCAACAAATACGATACATGAGCCACCTCCTTCAGGAGTAAAGGTAAAAAAGTGTGAAGCCACCGAGAGCCAGTTGCATACTACAGAAGATAGTAGTTCTCCGGTGCAGTCACAAGGGATTTTTAGAGGATTTCAGAAATGGTGGTATGTGAGTGAAGAGAAAAACTCCAACAGCTCTGATGAGATTATACATGCCGAACCACCAATCAAGGAATCAGATGTGAAATCAGCTAGTCAATCTGAAAACATCACAAGCTCAGTTCCTTCTCTGCATTCTAGAGATGAAAAAAACATGGAAGAAAAATACGCTGCGGAATCTCAAGCTGTTGTAGACAAATCTAGCAGCGAAACTGGATTTTTTAGTAAGATTAAGTGTTGGTTTAGAACTTGGAAAAGTCCACCACCGCAAGACAACACAAATTTATTATCTGGCAAGAACGAGACTGGAGATAAAGCGGGCCCTGAAACACACAAGGTTTTTTCAAAGGACTCCTTTTGGAAAGATATGGAGGCATTCCTGGATACAAAACAAGGTTCTACCCTTGTCTTACAATCAAGGACTAGGTAATTCCTTGCTACCCTTCTGGTTTTTCATGCTCACCATTTTCAATGATTGAACTTGCTTGCTTTGCTTCATTTTCAGCTACCACACTTTCTTCTTCGACCTATGCCGTCCACAGGCTAGTTTTTACAATTGTATGATTTATTAATTGTTTAGCGTATCTTTTGAATTCACTGGGACCTATTTTCATTTGCTCGGCATCCTTTTTTTTGGATTCACTAAACATAAATTTTATTGCTCCTCTAGGTCCAAGTGTGAAGTCATAACTCACAAGGAAGAGCACACATTTGAATTGCATTTTCCCCATTTAACCAGACATTGCATTCTCATTAATCAATCGTTGTGATTAATCAATTTCTGTAAAAGAGCAGTCTATAAGGATTTTAATCCATTTTTGCTTCGTATCAGGTTGGAGATGTCACAGAATCTTAAAGATTGTGGTCCTTCATTTATTAGATCTCTATGTGAAAGTGATCTTCTTCGCCTGGTGGAGTTGTTGATTACAGATAAGAGGTGGGTGGAAGAACGCATCCACAAAACCTTTCCTTTCAAGGTATCTCGGCCAGCCATGAAGGCTATGATAAGTAATGCTTCATCCAACAGCTCAACTGGGCTGAGCAGTTTATTTCAACATACAAATCCTCCAACAACAAATTCGTCAAAGCTGCAAGAACACAATGGAGAGAATAAGAAACACCAAAACCCTCCTCTATCAGGATCCGTGCCTCAACCTGTCCCGGAAGAGGGCTCCTTTGGGAAGAAGAAGTCTAGAAATGATACACTTACTGACTGCATGAAACTTGTGCAGTATGTCGTGAAGGAATACCCAGAAGGGTACAATTTAGGATCCTTCAGGAAGCTTTTCCTTGTAACACATGGCTATTCCCTGGATGTACAGAAGCTTGGATATCCAAAGTTAGTAAACCTTCTTAATATAATGCCTGGGATAAGAATAGAGTCAAATCATATAATTCCAGCTGCCCATGAGTTGGATTACAAAGAAAGTAGTTCAGAGTCTCCAGACAGCAAACTACTAATGGACGTGTCAAGGAAGAAGGTTGATGATGGTGTTGTTGTTGACTACTCTCAATGGGCAGATGAGCTTGGACCAATTTCAACAAAGAAGAATAAGAAGAAGAATGAGATGGAGTATGAACCATTGCCTGATGATGATTTTTCAGACTTGGATGAAGAGAAGAAAACGAAAGCAGAAAAATGCAGTGGTGGAAAAGACAGAGTGAACAAGGCGGAGGAAGAGAGCTCTTTGTTGCAGATCCTTGATTCTTGGTATGGCAGGAAGGAGGAAAATTCTGATGGTGATGGTGGGGTGATAGAGTGCTCCTCCGCCTCAAAGCTGCCGCCACCGCCACAGACCTCTGCTCCTCTTCCTCATCCTTCTAACACTGACACTGTTACTGTATCGAAGAACTCCTCCGGCGGGAAGAGGGGCTGCAAAATGGGGTTGAAGTCATATTCATTCGTCTCAGATCATCAACCCGGAGATTGCAAGGATGAGTTGATTGATGGAATATTGAGTAGCTTAAACAAGTCGGGGGATAAATCAGTCGCTGCCCCAAAAACATAATAAAGCCTGAAGAAGAAGATGATGAAAGCGAGAGCAAAACCAACCCAGCCTCCCTCACCACCAAAAACATCATTTTCCCCCTTTTCTTCCTGTTTTTTTAAGGGCTATTGGATTAGTTTCATTTGTTTTTTCAGGCACAAGAAAAACATTTCTTCGCTCAAGTGTGTGTTCGTGCACATTCACTCAATAGGATATAAGTATGAAGTGTGGAAGATTGAAAACACGACATATGAAACTAAACTTAATCACAATACCTAGTTAAAGTGTCAAAACATGGCAGAAGAACAACAAAAAAGGATGATGGCAAAACACTATTGATGGATCATTTGCCAGGCATAGTTGTCATGGCGCATTGCGACATTCATGGCGATGGTGCAAATATGGCGTCGCCACATGACAATAGTCACACAATATTAATTAAATAATATTACACATGTATAAGGCATTAATTCTTAAAAAACAATAGAGTACTTGATCTAAATAGTCATGTACTAAAAAAATATGGCAGAAAATATATGTAAATTATTAAGCAGAAGTATAATAGGGTAAATCACCTAAAAAAATTTGTGGTAGAAAAATTATGCCAAAAAAATTATGGCAAAAAAATATAGCAGTGTAATTGAGCAAAAGTATAATAAGGTGAATCACCTTTAAAAAAATTGGCAGTATAATCAAGGAAATAAAATTTTACGTTTGAGCTAAAAAAAGAAGTATATGGCATATCACCTTTAAAAAAGTAATAATATACTGGTATACAACCATATTTTAAGGACGCAAAGCAAGCTATGAGAACAGAGTAATGATAATTTCGCTTGCAGTCTTTAGTTACTCCTGGGCAGTAAATACGGAGTAATAGTCGTAATGCGTAGTAATAATAATTGCGCTTCCAGCCTTTAGTTATTATTTCCTCCATTTCCATAAACATGTTCCCATTTACAAAAGAGAGGAGCTGCTTGTAATGTTTTATAAATGAGGATTAAATATTGAAAAATACCTATAACTAAATTTATGAAATTTACTTAAAAAGAAAACAGCAATGGAGAAGTGAGTTCCACAGTAGCATGTTCCCCGAAGGGCCTGCTGTGCTAGGGGTGCAAATAAAATTTTACCCTTTCCCAATATGGCCAAAATGTCCATCCAAGTTCCAAATACCCATTTCTCCCCACAGTAAATACGGCCGTACGATTCAGTGTTTTTCAGCATCAACATCGAACAAAAAACGACGCGCGAAGAAGAGGGAAACCAGAAAGATTTTCCCCCCATAAAAAAAACGGAATACAATAGATTGAGAAAGAGGACCCTAAGTCAGCCAGTGCTGCTCTCTCGCTCTATCCGGGTCTGAATTCCACTTTTCCTTTGCTTTTGGATTCAGGTAATCAATTTCCTTCAATCCGTTTTTTTTCCTACAATTTTTTGATTTTGAATTCTAGATATATAATCGAAGGAAGCTGAATTGAGCATAGTGATTTTTACAAAGTTGATTTGATTAGATTTGGTTTGGTTTTTGGCGTTGTGATGATTTATAGAGTTCGCATAATTTCGAGTGATCGGAAGCGGTATAGCAATGGGACAGCAGAGACCGACGACGCGCAGTAAAAATAAGAGAAATCGATCTGATGATAATGCTGATGCTATAGCCGACACTTTCAGGTTCATTTTCTGTTCAAAGAAGTTTACTTCGTCTTCTTTTAGCAGTCTAGTAGTTCCATGGAGTAGCTTGAGGCCTCCATTCCTGAGTTAAGAATAAACTTTGTTTATTACGCTGCTTAAGCTGGAATCTACCCTTGACATTGATGAATTTTCTTAACGTTTGGTTAATTAGGAGTGTAGGTAAAATGTTTATGTATTCTGCATTTTACAAAGCATGAGTCTGTTCTGTGCTCTCTAGTATTTCAAATATAAAAAAAAATGTTTAATCAAATAATTGGGAGTGTAGGTAAAATGTTTAATCGTAACGTTTGGTTAATTAGGAGTATAGGTAAAATGTTTATGTATTCTGCATTTTACAAAGCATGAGTCTGTTCTGTTCTCTCTAGTATTTCAAATGTATAAAAAAAGTTTAATCAAATAATGCTGGGCCATTAAAATCCCACCCCAAAAGTAAAAGCTAACAGCATCTGACTTTTAATAATTCATATCGTACATTTTCTTAAAATATTGAACCGATAAACCATATATTAATCGCTCATTGAAGAGCTTCTCTTGTTGAAAGACTAATAACTTTGATTGGGTTCAGTCACTGTTTGTTTGTGCTTTTACTCTTGAATATTATAGAAACTTGTAGCAACCATATAATCCATTGGAAGTCTTGCAATCCAATTGGGTCTAATATATGTGCCACTGGGCCAGTCATGAACATATTCCAATCCAAACTGATTAAGAAAAGTCATTTGCAGGAAAGTTTTTAAGACTGGACAGGCGACTGAAGATGATATAAATCAGCTCTACATGGTATGGAAGCCAGTTTGTCAAGGGTGCCGTGTCAACACTAAGGATAATCCCAATTGCTATTGTGGATTGATTCCGCCACCAAATGGAAGTCGTAAAGTTGGGTTATGGCAGAAGACATCTGAAATTATCCATTCCCTTGGTTATGATCCATCTGATGACCTTCGTGCATCTCCAGATACACCTGCAGGCCTCACAAACCTTGGCGCGACATGCTATGCAAACAGTATTCTCCAATGCCTGTACATGAATAGACCATTCAGGGAAGGTGTTTTTTCAGTTGAACTGGATGTGTTGAAAGGGTACCCAGTCTTGGATCAACTTGCACAACTTTTTGCTAAGTTACACTTGAGCAACATGGCTGTCGTTGATTCTGCTCCATTTATCCAGACTCTTGAGCTTGATAATGGTGTTCAGCAGGATAGTCATGAGTTCCTGACCTTGCTTTTTTCCTTGCTTGAACAATGTTTGAAGCACTCGAAAGTATACAAGGCTCGAACTGTTGTTCAAGACCTTTTTCGTGGAGGTGTCTCACATGTTACAATGTATGTTTTGAGCTTACTAGATTTTAGCAAAGCCTTTTGTTGTGGTTTTTATTTTTATTACTGGTAATATTGTTGTATGAGGAGTTTTTCCATCACCTCCGATGGAGCCAAAGATTCAATATTTTTGGCTTTGGGGTATGATGGAATAAAGCAAAATGGCTCTTTAAATTGTTTGCACTTCTTTCAATAGTGAAGTAGCAGTTAGTCATTGCAACTTTTAGTGCTCATCATGGGTTATCTTGAAATAGCCTATCTATGTTTTAAACCTAGGAGTCAGGTTTCGTATATCGTAACCCCTTATCCCCCAATGGGCGGGAGCCTTTGAGGCAGTGGGGTAAGGTTGTTATAATGCATGATGAGTGGACAAAATAATAATATTAGATCAAGGGCATGGGTTTTGAATGTGCATAATATTAGTGATTAATAATAGACTGAATGTTGGAGTACTTTAAAGGGGTTTCTGATTAGGATCATGCTACACTGACACCCAATTTGACACCAAAGTTTGACACCTTGTGGGTCACACAGATAGTCATTGTCTTTGCGTACCTGTGAAACACGTGGTGTCAAACTTTGGTGTTAAAATATATTTACCCTTTTGGTTATGAATGCATCCTTTTCATTTACAGACAATTAAATTTTAATATGTTTGAAACTTAGACTCGCAAAGGCACAAATGATTCTTAGATTTTCAAGATATTGGGGACTTTAAATTCAGTAATCTATAGTAGAATAGAAGTTTGTGGTTTCTTTCTTTCACTTTGGCATTTCCTCGTATCAAGAAAGTAAATTAGAATGGCTGAAGTTAATTTTATTGCAAGCTACAAGTTTGTGTACATCTACCTAGTCGTTAATGCTAACAAAAATCTAAAGTGCTAGAAAAAAAGTTACATTGGTCATAAATGAATTCATGAGGGTGGGAGAACATCTAATTTTCTCTCATTATTTATAGAATAATAGATTGTATGCTACATAGTTGACTTGCTCTATGGAAATCTACACTGAAAAGAATTGTTTCCTGTTTGAGAGGAAGATAGTCAAACTCTCTTTGGAAGGGTCTTGCAGTTGGCTGGTTAATGGGAAGAAAACAATTTAAGAGGCTCTATATAAAGAGTTGGAGAAGAGGATGGAAGAGGATTCTCAAGCACTGGGAATTCACAGTGCTTGTGAAGTTGTAATCATATAGAAGTTTAATTGGTTAAATAGTTCATTACACTAGCATTTGGGTCAGTAAGTAAAAAAGAGTTTTTAATAGCTTTGAGAAGAACTTTGTTTGTAATTGTACAAGAATATGTGTAAAATATTTCACTATGCTTTCACCTACATGTTTCAGCTGAAAATTAACTCCTTGAACATCTGTTTTCATAAACTTGTAGGTGCTCAAGTTGTGGAAATGAATCTGAAGCTTCATCAAAAATAGAGGACTTCTATGAACTGGAGCTGAATGTTAGGGGCTTAAAGAGTTTAGATGAGAGTCTGGATGACTATCTTAGCATAGAGGAACTTGAAGGCGAAAACCAGTATTACTGTGAGGCATGTGCCACTCGAGTCAATGCTACTCGTAGCATTAAGTTGCATTCTCTCCCTGCAGTCCTAAATTTCCAGCTCAAGCGCTGTGTTTTCCTACCAAATGTATGTGATTGCTTCTCAGTATCTTTCTGATGCTTTCTAGTTCTATAAATAGTACTATCTTAGTATCTCTTTCCCATTTGACTTGCCCTTTTTTTATTCATCAGCTCTTCATTCTTTGGCATATCCTTTTTACTTATAATATTTTTTGTATGATTATGGATCTATTTATGTAGTTTCTAAATACAGAAATTGGATTTTCCACATCTGAAGTAGATCTCACAAAATTTAAATATATGCATTGACGGGTAGCAATTTAACAAGAGATGTTGCAGCATCTTAAACTCATTGTCATCATTTCTTTTCATTTTGTACCTATATCACTTTTCTTAATTGTGTTGGTAGTTTTCTATTTCCTCCCCATACCCACTTGAAGGATTTTCTATGGTATGTTGCTGTTGACAATTGTGAGTTCACTTTAGGTGAAGGATTTCATATATGATACTCTGTAATAAATATTGAAGTACCCAGGAAGTAGCTTGCGGGATGTTTTGCTTTATTGCTAATTAACTGATTTTGCTTTTGTGGACTCTTCGGGTGGTTTTTTTTCTTTCTATTACCTTGTTCCTTATCTTCTCTTCCTCGTGATAAACTCCATCGTTGCAATACTGTGATGGATTTCTAATTTTCTATGTGAATAAGCAATGGATCTAAAAGTAAATAGTGACTCATGTTTGTCTTGGTTGCTTAATTGCATTTGCGCTGGGCTTTTTGTCCATTCTAATTCTTTATTGTTTCCTAGACTACAACAAAGAAGAAGATCACTACTGCATTTTCTTTTCCCGAGGAATTGGATATGTCACAAAGAATATCTGATCATTTGCAATCAGATTTAGTGTATGATTTGTCTGCTGTATTGATCCACAAGGGCTCTGCAGTAAACAGTGGCCACTACTTAGCACTTGTTAAAAATGATAAAAGTGGGCAGTGGTGGGAATTTGATGATGAACAAGTTTCACACTTAGGTTCTCAACCATTTGGAAAAGGCTCCTCTAATTCTGCTGTAAAACCTGCACAATCTGGGCCTCATGTGCAAATATCATCATCTGAAGAAATCAATCCTCTCTTAAATTGTAAAAATGTCAATGATGATCAGCTGAGGTCTTCAGAAACTAATGTTGTTAGTAATGTCAAGATGTTTTCATCAAGTGATGCGTACATGCTGATGTATACTCTTAGGACTGCACGGAATATTGATGAGAAGACAGATAATGGTATTGACACGGAAGAAATGGAAGGTTGTTCTTCCGTATCTTCTATGAGAACTGACAGTCCTCTTCCATCCCATCTTCAGCAAGAGGTTGAAAGAGCAAATGCTTCATATCTCGATTCCTGCAATGAATATAGAGAAAGGAAGGAGAGTGAACTCAAGTGTATCAGTGAGCGGCGGCAGGAGGTGCGCTCCATCCTTTCTGAAGCCCCAGTTCAATCAAGTGGGACCCCATATTTTTGGATATCTACAGAATGGCTTCGTCAATGGGCCGATAGTATCACACCACCGTGAGTTTGAGTCCTTCATTATATTTTTTATTTTGCCCCTTGAAATGGAAAAAACATTAAATCTTATTTCATGTGTATGGCTGTATTTTCGTAACACAATTGTTTCTATTTCTTTGACATTGCCAATATAATTGTTCTACTTGTTTATATTTTATTCAGGTTTAGGCTGTGTTTGGCACACATAGGTGAACAGGCTAATAGCTAGAACCTAAAAGTTAAAAGCTGTTAATGTTTGTGAACCATTTAGTAAAACACATGTTGTCTAAGCTCTTAAAATTAAAACGTAAAGAGTAGAATTAACTGTTAAATAAGGAATATAAGTCTTATTAATTTATATATGGTAAAAAAAATAAGGTTACTAGGCTGTTCTTGACCTGCTGAGGTAGGGATGGACATTGTCTCCTATTTTAATCAAAACTGAAGGGTCTAGAACCGGAACTGAACTGATCGACAAGGTACTAGACTGCTACACAACTGGAAGACCAAGACTAAAACAACAAGACTAAAACAACAAGAACAACAACATTACCCCAGTCCCCAGTGCCTTAATGGCTCCTGCCCATTGCGGACTGGGGTTCGGATGTACGCAGTCTGACCCCTATGTTAAAAACATAGAGCGGCTGTTTCCAGATGACCCATGATGAGCGTCAAAAGTTGCATCGACCAACTGTTACTTCACAATTGCAAGAAGCGCAAACAGTGTAGAGAGCCAATTTGCTTTATTCCATCATACCCCAAAGCCAAAAAATAGTGAATCTTTGGCTCCACAAAGGAATGGAAAAAAGACCAAGACTAAAAGCCGTCTTAAATTATAGTGTATTTGTGTAAACCGCGGACGGAACGGGAACAAACATTAGAAAATGAACTGAAACTGCCGGTCTTAGAATCTGAACGTGGATACTCTATCCACTGCTCCTGTTAAATTTCTCAATTTTTAGGGACTGGAATTGGAACATGGTAGTCGGAAATGGAACTGGAATTGCCATGTTGAGAAACTAGCTAGAAGATGAAAGCTGAAAAGACATGGTTTTACATTTCAAATTAAAACACATCAATAAATAAATATAATTCAAGTGTTTGCCAATTTTTCTATTGAATAAAATGCTAGATATAAAAATGAAAAATGAAATTAAAGTTTTCAAATGGATAAAAAACTCAACATTTTTTTTATAAGTAATAGTTTCACTAAGGGATCATTTCGTAATTTTAGAAGTGTTTAGTTTTCTTGAATACTAAAGAACGAAAAACAAATAACTTATTTACTTCACCAAATAGTGAAAATAAAAAGCTGCTCTCTAATTTCTCTTTGCTGCCAAACATGAAAATCATATCTGTCATGCTTTCAAAATGAAATTTGCTTTTCAATTCTATGTATGTATTTCACTGAAAATAGATTATAGTTTAAAATAAGATATATTGATATCAGCTCTTAAGCAAGTTCAACTGAGCATAGCCTTAATGTCTAGTGGGCATGAACATATACACTTTGTAGTAAGTTCTTCTGAACAGAGCCTTAGTCTCCAGGCATGAGCATATACACTTTGAAACAAGTTTTTCCAAGCAGAGCCTTTGTCTTTAGTAGGCACGGACACAACCAACTTGCTGCATTTTATCTTATTGTGATGCTAGTATGTTGTTTGGTGCATAGTTGTTACACATTCATCATTCTTGATAGATTAGAAACAATTTATTTAGCTTTCTAATTGCTGTTCTTGATTCTTGATCACTTGCAGAATAATAGACAACAACATCATACAATGCAAGCATGGGAAAGTGCCAGTTTCAAAGGTGAACTCTATGAAAAGGTTGTCACAAGCAGCTTGGGCCATGCTATTGTCTAAGGTATGATTTTGTGCTTGGGGAATTGTTTTATAGCTTTTATTCATTGGTTTGTTCATTTTTATTCTCCCTTTCTGATTTCCAACTGAAATCCTTCAAGACGCTCATGAGTATGACATTGTTCTGCTGGTTGCAACTCCAGTATGGTGGAGGTCCAACACTGTCCCAGGATGACCATTGTGTTGATTGCCTCCTTGAAATGGCTCAGACAATGGCTCGTGCAGATAGCTATAGGGATCAAACAGCTCTCATGAAAGAAATTGCAGAGGCAGCACTTGCTGGAAAATGCCTTGATGGCAAACAGTTTTACATATCAAAGTCTTGGTATGTACTTCATATATATCATTGATGTCTATGCAAATTAAAATTTACACAAAAACAGATTTTCCCTTTAATTTAAACCAAGTTTTTGGTGGTTATCCTGATAGCATGCAACCTGCTTGTTTTTTTTTTGTGCTTTTATATTGAAACTATCTTTTGGCAGATTTCTTTGGCACTCATTGCTTTCTTCTATAGGTTGCAGCACTGGCTACGTAGAAAAAAGGCAGACTGTCCGAGTGAAGCTGATGCTGGACCAACTGCATCAATTAGATGTCCCCATGGGGAACTTTTGCCTGAATTAGCTCCTGGTGCTCGCCGTGCGCTGATTCCCGAGAATCTGTGGATCTTTTTTCATGAGACTGCTATGGCGGTAAAACCTGATGATACCTTGGGTTCTTCAACTTTCCCTTTAGACTCGGCGGAATGTTCTCAGTGCAGTATTGAACTTTCCGAACATGCATTCTTTGAAGATAACTTAAGGTCCTATTGGTATTTCAGAATAGATAAGCCTTTGAATGGTGCTACAGTTTCTGAATTGGTCTTTTCTTATGCAGAGAGTTTAGAATGAAACAAAGGCAAAGTCATGAGCGATTAGCAACTGTTAGAAGTATATCACTTGATCCTAGCAATAAGTACTACTTGTTGCCCTCTCATTGGTTATCAAAATGGAGAAGCTATATTAGTGCTAGTGGGAAGAGCTCTTCTGTTGTACTTGAAACCTTAGGTCCAGCCATGAATTTACTAATGTGTGAAAAGGTGCCTTCTTGATCCTACTTACATTTTAGACTTCCATAAGATTCAACGCCACACGTACTGGACATGTTAAGCAGATAGAGGGGTTGATTGGGGGGCTCTTTACGTGCTATGTCTGTGAATTACTAGTATTTTTTTGACATCAAACTTTTGTCAGCCAAAATTCTAGTGCAAAACAGATGGTAGTAGATGGGGTTTGGGTAGGAGGGGGAGCGCGATATTTGTCTTGCTAACATACATTTTTTGTAATGCAGCATTCAAAACTTCTAGAAACGCCTCCTGAACTCATTTGTAAGCGTGGTGTGATTCTTCAGAAGTCACCTGCTGTGAGTATATATTAATTGCTTTTTGTGCTGTAACAACTCTGACAATATTTATGTATTCCCTTTACTCCCACAGACCCATACTCGAGTTAAATTTTACTGCATTGCTGAATCTTTTCTTTCATATTTGGTGTATCAGACAGATGGATTGACAATTATCAGTGAGAATGACTGGAACCTATTTTGTCAAGACTGGGGTGGTCTAGATGCAAAAGGAATTGTAGCTGAAATTGAGTGTGCGGAGAGTGATTTTGTTATATCCTGTGATGACATGCCATTATCAGAAGATCATATTAATGTGAATGCTGAACCTGATACTGGTATTGGATCTAGAAAACCTGCCATTAAAACTTCACCTGAGGTAATTCTAGCCAGCATCCCATCATTTTCAAATTATTTGAAAGCTTTCTTTTCAACCATCATTTTATCCATTCGCCATGATTTGTAAGATCTTACACAAGTACTTGCCACTCTCAAGATTAATGGTAAATTGCAATTTGAAACTATATATGAAGCTAAAAGAGTCATTAATCCTCAGTATTGACAATGTTTTAGCTTTGGTTATACTAATCAAAATGGCACATTAAACTGCCTTCAGTTCTTTCTATCAAGTTTTGAGTAGTAAATGGCTAAATTCACCAACACATAATCTCATAAAGGGTCCAACAGAAACATCCTTCGTTTTTTAGAGGGGTAAAACTATAAGTTTTGACCCCACACCTGAACAGAGTTGAGATTGTAGTGGGTGTTGTTGTGAGACTATATATGAAGTTAAAGTCATGAATTTTCAGGTATGTGAAGAGTGTATTGGCGAAAAGGCAAGCTGCGAGTTGCTGAAAAAGCTTAATTATTGCAATGAGGACATATCCATCTTTTTTGTTCATGGAAAGGAACCTCCTAAATCAATTTTAGAAGCACCCGGGAACAATTTTGAGGCAAATCGGCGAACTTCAAAGCGTTCCAGGAAGGCATCATTTGGCAACTCAGTAAAATTAAATGTTTCTGGATCCACATCAATCTACCAACTGAAAATGATGATATGGGAAGCATTTGGGGTAAGGCTTTGTTTTTAAAGCATGACATTTATCTGTAGTTTTGTACTATGGTGGTCTGTCTTGGCACTTGAACTCCAAATTTTGGGAAGAATAGCTTCTTGAAGTGAGGAAGTGTTACATCTGTCTAAATATGAACTATGCTGTATGTAATTGGCCAGAAATTAAGGTGTCCCTCTTGCTCAACATTTCTTTCATTGCATTCTGAAAATTAAAGAAAATACTGCTTGAAGTTTGTCTTGTCTAGAATCTAGATATATTAACCCTTCACTAACACCACATTACACATCTAGAACAATTTTTATAGACCCCGACTTTCTGCTCTCCAGAGTTCCCTTGCTGACTAGTTGTCCTCCCTATGTCCCACTTTATATGTCTTACTTTCCTTTGAGGCATGCCCCAAAATAATCCACCACTAACCTTCTAAGTTGGCTAATGCAGTTTTTTTTGAAATGGTTCCACACAATTTGGTAAAGTGAACTACATTTTTCTTCTTTTCTTCAAACATCACATCACAAGCAAAGGGGCCTTATAATTAGGGACAAAGGGAGTATATAATTTGGTTATGAGGGTTTGGGGGTTTTATCTTTTTTACTACTGCAGGCTGCTACACAATCATCTTGCAATGATGGTATCTATAATTTTGTTTTTTAAGCAAACAACTTTAAATTGATATGGATGTTTATTCTATATGAAATTCCATAGATCTCGAATGAGTTAGGTTTCAAGCCTTTCATTCACATGCGTCTAAAAATGTGAATGGCTTTATGGTGGTTGTGCTACTGCTCTCTTGTTACTTTGAACTTATTGTATTTTAATAGTTTTTTAAAATGTGCGTCGGTAAAGGTCATCCAGGAGTGCAATTACTTTCTGGCTTCAACATGAATAAAGACTTTGCCTTTGTTGTCTGAATTCCATTTACCTTTCCTGCCAAAGTTAGATAGTACTTTCTACTTAATTGAGTGAACAGAAGAATTTCCACTATAGTACCAGGGGAATAAGATTTTTTATGAGATGCCCTTCTATACTTACAAAGTGAAATTCATCTTTGCACACAGTTGTTAAACCTGTAGGAAATCTATTACTTTGAAATGTCCATGTGTGATTATGTTAATTTTGCGCAGGTTGTTAAAGAAAACCAGGTACTTCACAAGGGTTCCAGTGTAATTGATGCAGAATCTGGATGCCTTGCTGATTTAAATATATTTCCTGGAGATGTTCTGTGGGTGACTGATTCGGAGATCCATGAGTATCGGGATATTGCTGGTAGGAATCTTGTTGGATGTCTTCTAAAAGTATCCAAAATAAAAATAAAGGGAAATAAAGTTTTCAATTTCTCGTCATTGTTATAACTATAGGCATAAGATTGGAAGTTCTGATGTTTTTTACTTCTATAATAAATGGAAGTAATTTATGTTCTAATACGAACGTGAACTTTCTCCCTATTAATATGACCTTGCTTTTCCCAGATGAGATTACTGATCATAAGATGGAGGTGCACAAGACTGAGGAAGGTTTTCGTGGAACACTTCTGACATCAAATGTATCTCCACAGGTTTCAGAAGCATGTATGAATTAGGTGAAGGTCATACTTAACATTCTCGATTTTGGATTGCAAGAGATATAATGGAGGTGAGATCATGTGTCATATTAACTACTGTTATACTACGTAAAAAGGTGTTCATTTTTGGGGTTTGGATGTATAGCCCTCTGTTCTAATGACAACCTTTGGTCCAGCTACAGGTCTGCCTTGACGGCCTTGTCTATATACGTTACCATTTATGACATGGAATTATGATTCAACAATCCATTGCAATTTTCAGATGGATGGCTCATGCATGACAACTTGTAATGGAAGACCCACGTTTGACTCTGGGCAACTGTGCATGGGCAAAGAGCGNGGTATCTTCAGAGGGTAATATGGTTTTGGTTTGAAGTTTAACCTCATCTGCCTGCTCAGATCAAATGCAGGTAGCAGAATGAATGTAATGAAAAAGGAGGTTTGGGTAAGCTTTGATCTCTCTCAGGGGAGGGGCTCAAGTTTTTTGGATATTAACTTTCTACCTTGTACCCTTTCGACAGTAAATACTGTAAATAATGTGTTTGTGCCTTTGTGGTTTGATGCATAATATAGTTTGTTACACTTTAAAAAAATGTTTAAACTCAGTTAGATGTAACAGTGATTCTGCCATATTATTGATCTACTGCATTGAAATCAAAATTATCAAACGTTCCTTGTTTCAGTTATGTGCGGACCACCTTTGTGGTGTCTGTTATACACACACACACACACATGAAGACTAATTACCTAGTTGGAGAGTACCAACCTAAGATGTTCTAGTTCTAGCAGGAATAGAATTATGGGTTCTAGATTTAATTAGCTCTATATATATCTTAGCCAAGCTTGGATTATGATATGAGAAACATTTGAGAGTTTATTGTAATTGGTTTTGAGTGATTTTACAGTTATAATAAAAGATTGTTTCCAACAACACACACTTGGTATTGTTTAATTTCAAGAATGAAGACAATGTTCATGTCTAAATAATACGGAGTACTCTGTAATTGTAACGTAGAATAATGTACTACAATTACCCGTAGTGGAATGTGAATTAGCCCAAACTACGGGATATGCTATTTGGTCTTGCATTGCTTAATTTTTTTCACTAACTGCGGGCCATGCTAGTGTAGTCGTAGTTTAGTTAAATATTATAAATAAACAACAATGAGCAACTTAAATAAAGATGGAGAATATGTCTTTTTCAAAAAATAGATGTTTCTATGCTTTCTAACATCACGGTAAACCTCCCGCTCTGGTTTGACACAAACCCACTCCCTCTTTCTCTAAATGCACTTCTCAAATTTAGTTAATTTTCAAGTTAAATTTTGACTTCAAATCAACTAAATTTGGAAGGTGCAATTGAAGATTGTTAAAAAAAGATTAAAATGAACTAAATGTGTACTAGTTGACATGACTTCTTTGGCACTGCCAATATGGTTTTACTCGAAATTTAAATTTACTTTTCTATTTATTCAAAATTGAGTGCTATAGTAGTAAATTGAAAATATATAGTGCTAAACTATGAGTATAGGACATAACTAAACACGATGAGTAAACGACAATTGTAAATTAGGAAAAAAGATTGAAATGCACAATCTTTGTCTAAGGATTAATTTCTTATTTGATTTTTCATGATCTTTATATGACACTTTGATTATGAATTTCTTTTTATGTATAAATGTATATAACGGAATATAAAAATAAAATATTTAAAAATGAATCTATTAAGTTTATTATATGGAAATTCAATATTTTTTTTAGTGGTTAAAGTTCCAAAAGTCTTGACCATAAAAATTAATAACTAAAAATGTAAGCAAGCACTTAACATGTTACTCTTTTAGTTTATGGGTTGAAAGAGAAAAAAGATTGGGTGAAAATCTTGCTTGTAGCAGCAGGATGCAAATGGGAAAAAGGTTCATATCCCCAAATCTTTTCTCTTTCTCTATCACACTCTCCTCCTGTCGAGTGGATAACTCTACTGCAACTTAATTAGTTTCTCGCTCTGACGCCAAAACCCGAAAATGACTAAAATTACCCTTTTCCCTTCTTCTTCTTCTTCTTCTTCGTCAATGCGTCGTCCTTCGTCTATCATCTCTGTCTAGGGCTACAGTTCTCCGTCTTCACCTGGTAATTAATAGTAAACCAAACGATTTTTAGTTCTAACCATCTCTACACACTGTTCACACATACACTCGCACGCCTGTTTGGATTTGTTATAATCATTCCTTTTCGCAGACGAAATACTCTTTAAACCCTGCTCAGCAAGCCTACCCTTTCTCTTTCTTCTGCGATTCCGCTTGTTTTCATCATCATCATCATCATTAATACTCCGTATCATTTTGGATTCCTGAATTTTGTTTAGCTCTGTAGATTGCTGCCAATCATGTATAGTAATAAGCACTCGGAACAGGCTAAGGTGGAGCAGATCATTACTGAGTTTTTCCCCAAGAGCCTTCACGTAATACTCGAATCTAGGTGCCCTTATGCTTCATCACGGAATTACAGTGGTGAGCAGTGTGTCTCCTCACCCTCCTCTTCATCTTCATCCACATCCAGTGTTAGACCTAGAGACAAATGGTTCAATTTAGCACTCAAAGATTGTGCTGCAGCCCTTGAGAACATTGATTTTTGGAGGCAAAGTAACCTCGATCCTATGATCGTGGACGTGGTTCTATTGGAAAGACCTAATGCTAGGAGTTTTTCTAAAGAAAAGGATTGGATTTCTGAGCGTGATGAGTTTTCTGGGAAGGCAAAGGAGAAGATTGTTGAGAGATGGATGATACAGTATGAAGGCAGAGATAGTAAGAAGAGGTCTAGTAGCTGTACTAGTTCACAGATTGTTTATAAGAACATTGTCCTATTGCTAAGGTCATTGTATGTCACTGCTCGGATTTTACCCGGTTATAAGTTTTACCGGGACCTCACTTCATCTGCCCAAATCAGAACGTATAACCTTTGTTCAAGAGTTTCATCATTTGCTGAACCATTCACTCATAGACAGGAAGCTGAAATGCAACAATTTGTGTTCACCCCAGTGGAAACATCTTGCGGAAGGCTTTGTATTTCAGTTTGGTATTGCTCATCCATTTCTGATGTCAGTTCTGAACCATCAACACCGCTCTCTCCCCAATTCATACCGGATTATGTAGGCAACCCAATGGCGGAGCCACTTAAGCAGTTCCCTTCTGGACCAATTCCCCAGTCATTGTACCCTCTTGAAAGGCGTCATAGTTGGAGTTACGATTTATATAGAGCATCACCACCACCTTCACCCACCTACTCTGAACCACAGGCTTCGATTAACCAAACACGGGCCACTTGTCTCCCTCCACCAACCAGTAGACCACAAGTTCATACAAAGAATACTAGCTTTGATGAGTACTGGCCATCCCCTACAATCTCAACATCACCTTCTCTCTCACCATCACCTACCTATGCTCCTACTGGTGTTAGTGGCATCGGGAAGGCCCTTTTACGCTTTGGAAGTGCTCCTGTCAGAATACCTGACTCCAGGCTTTTGGGTGTTCCTTTTCGGTTCTACAATCAGCTATTGGCCCCTTCTCCGCCACTGAAAGGCGTCAGACCTACTTCTGCAAAAACAGATAAGAGCAGCTCTTTGGCTGCCAAGGTATTTTTGAGAATCTAATTAATTTCAGGATCGAGATCTTTCCCCAAGTAAAATTGGTACTTATATTTCTATTACCATTCTATTTTTTTTTTTTGAAGTCTTTCTCACCTGGAAAAGATGATGGCGACAAATTGTGTATGGTGAAGGTGACACAGACAAACATTTCGCCACAGAAATCCTTCTCTAGAAGCTCTAGCCGGTTGTCATATCAGGATGAGTACGAGGATTCTGAGTTTTCTGGTCCGTTTGTTGTGGATGATGATGATGGTGATATGACAGACCATGGCAACAGGTAATTCTAATCTACCTAGATTCCAAAACTGATGTTTTTATGATAAGCATAAGCAAATGCATGCATGTCTTCTCCTTTTCTTATGTAACACAACAATGGTCGCTCACTGGCTGATTGATCACAGTGAATCAGAAAATATTAATTTGAATGGAATTTTATTCTGGAATAGGCTAGTTACCAAGTGTTTAGAAAAAAGTGATATTTTTAGTGTGCTTTCATTGCTTTGTATGTATATCACTCATTCACCTGCATTACCATGTGTGCTTGTGGAACTGTGCAATTATAGAGATGGCAGCTAAATGGAGGTTTATGTATCAATCTGGTTAGGCCACCAATTATTTTAAACCTGCCCAGTGCATCCATTTTATAATACGCTTCAATTTGGAAGGTTTAATGTTGACCGCATGTAGAGCAAGCAAGTGAAAATTATAGTAACCAAAATTTTTAATTGTCTCAAAAGTAGACCCGATCACGGGCCCGGGTATCCGGCCCGCCCGCAAAATAGCGGGCTTGGGCTTGACATTTTAGGGTACGGGCCGGGCTTGGGCCTTATAAATGGCGGCCCGAAGATTTTAGGGCCGGGCTCGGGTTTATGCTCAAGCCCACGGGCTGGCCCGGCCCGAATAAATTAAAATATTTATTATTAATATAATTATAATAAAATAACAATAACAACATTAATAATAATAAAGAACAAACCTATTTTAAATTATTATAAATACACATACATACTTCTATGGAGAGAAAAAATAAACTATAAGTTTATATAATAAAATGAATACATCTTTACTACTCCGTATTGTTTGCAACGTATCACACATTGATTATGACATTCTAATAGATAATATTTTGTACTCCATACATAATAGCAATATCAAACAAAATATATTTATGTATTAATTTTTCTTTCATTACTCATAATAGTTTTTATATCAAATATCTAATATATTAACTTGTTACTTTATTTTTTTAAAAAAAATTATTTTTTAAATTATTTAGAAGTTTTTGTCGGTTGGGCCGGGCCGGACCGAAGCCCGCGGGTAACCATGCGGGTAGGGCTCAGGCTTCAATTGTTAGGCCCGTTATACGGGCCGGGTCGGGCTCGGGCCTAGGAAATTCTCGTAAAGTAGTGTCTTGGCCCGGCCCGAAACCCGGCCCTGCCCGCACTTTGATCAGGTCTACTCAAAAGTAAGTTACTCGAATGCATGTAATATAATTGTTCGCCTTTGTTTCCACGAGACCACAACTATTGTATCATTTTCACTTTTGGTCCATATCTTTCATCTTTTTCACTCATGGCGTGTGACTAGATTTTATGTCCACTGCCACTGTTGCTAAAAGAGTACTTTTTTTACAATGGTTTAGCTTTGGACAAATAAAGAACTAAATCAAAATGGCACATTAGACTTCCCGTGCTTCTTACTTCTTGTGAAGTTTTGGGCAGATAACAAGATTCGTAGCCACTTTTGGTCATTCTGAACATTTATCTGCAACCAGAAATGACCAAAAGTGTCCATAGTCATGCACCGGAAGTGGAAAAAATGAAAAAGTGAGAATGAGCCAAAATAGTCATGGAACAAAAAATGGAACTTTAACTTAGGTAAGCTTTTTTCTTGGTGTTATGTGGGATGTGTGAATATTTTCCACTATCTTCTTCTAACCACTGCTGCGGTTTGTTTCTTTAGAATTTGTTCATTAGAGCAAACAAGGGAGCCACATGAACCCGGAGGAGGCAGTGCTTGTGTGGTGGCAAGGAAGCCGCCCCAAGCTTCTGTGGGCACACTTATTTCCATGCTAAAGAAGGCCCCTCCCTTACGCCAAGACTCGTCTTCTTCTTCTTCTGTGACCATAAATCCTACTACCCCTACTACTTGTAATGTTGCATCTCCTGCCAACATCATCACATCTAAAACCACAACAGACGCATTAGAGGAGCTGCGTGTGTACAGAGAGATGAAAGACTTGCTGCTTAAGCAAGGTCGAAAGTCTCAAATGTCGTAGTTGGCCCTTTTGCTCTGTGTTTTTTTGGTCTTATGATAATAATTTCTCAAAGCCTTCAAACTTTTATTTGTATTATATTCAAATATGGCTGATATCTCTTATTATGGTGAGCATGAATCTCTCTTAGAAAAAGAACATGCAATGTAAGCTGAATTGTTCATGAGAATATATATAAGGAGAGAGGAAGAGAGGAAAAAAGGATGAGGATGGTTTCAACAGTACATATATTGTAAATACTGGTTTCACAGTTTGTGTAAATATAATCAATAGCTATTCCTGGTGTATTATACATAAATTTATTGTATGTTTCATTGCTGATACTTTTGTAGTTCAAATCTCAAGGCTGTCTTTGGTCCTTTCACAATGATGTTCCATTTGGGTTTAGGTTATGAATGGTGAGCATTAAAAAGTTGTTCTTTCTACATGTAATTTGTATACCTTTGGTTGATTTAAAGTTGGGCCAAAATAAAAACATAACGCATCCCTATTTTGGGGTTTAAAAAAAATATGAGTGTGGATCATGCGTGATGAATCCCCAAACTGATTGAATCAAATTATTTACCTAAAATTACATGGTTAAATGGCTTCATTTCAATCCAAATAGAGCTTAAAAATACAGAATCATGGATGTTTTCATGTAAGGTCTTTATGATCTAAACAAAGGCTATAAATAAAAAAAGACAACATCTGATTTTAGGGGAAAACATGTGAGTAAAAAATTGATTTAAAGTAGTTCAAATTCAAAGTTTTGTTCGAACTCGGTATTTAATATAGAATATTGATTTTCGATCATATTTTATCAAAGAAAAGCATTTTCTAGTTTCAAACATAATTATGGAAAATATATTCAAGTCATAATTTTCAAATATGAATTCAAATAAATGTGCGCTGAGATGGATGATTATCCAAATTAATCACTGTTATTTACTGCTTCTTTTCTTGAAATCCCTTGGACATTAAAAAACGAAAGTATGCTTATTTTTCTGTGGTAACCCACTTCTTTAATAATTCTAGTATTCTACAGTTTCACTAACGATTTGCCCAGCAAATCCGCGAGGTAACGTAAAACTTTTCAAATAACAAAATAGCAACCCAATTTCCAATTGGCCTATTAGCTCAGTTGGTTAGAGCGTCGTGCTAATAACGCGAAGGTCGCAGGTTCGAAACCTGCATGGGCCATGGTCTAAACATTTTTAAAATGTTCTTTAAATCCCAAACCCTTTACTCTTTTTTTCTCTTAAAACCTGCTGTTTTTATTGCCTTTTTTTTGCCCAGCAATAAATACATTTTTACTCGTGAGTCCGAATTTAGAGAAATTTTATATCATGAGACCTATCCAATAACTTAAAATTAGTCATATACGTAGTAATATTATCGCTAAGACATATTTGTATTTTGTTCTATTACTTTAATAACTTTTTAAATCTTGAGATGGTCAAGTCGCTAGGTTTTGTAGCATAAATCTGCGCGCGGAATACGTCGTTCAACTCGTCTCATTGATACCTTCAATTCGAATAAAAATTTGTTTATAAAGGATAGCTTTTAAAATAACTTATTTTAATACCATCGTTATAAATTTTATTTTATTTAAACAAAAATTAGAATTATATTTTAATAAAATTTATTATAACTTTTAGGGTATATTTCAATTCCAAGGTGTTAATTACTTGCGTGTAGTCTGTTATTTGAAAGGAGATTCGGGCAAAAATATTTTTCAACAAACTACAATATACTTGCTCTCACTATCTATTCAAATTTAGGGGGGTGTATTCAAATCGGATTTTAATAGATTTTAATAGATTCTATAAAATCGGTGGATTTGATATAGTCCATGGATTATTTTAATTCTACAAAGAGTTTGATAGATTTTAGCGTATTTTATCAACACGATTTTAAAAGATTTTGTAGGATTATAAACATGCAATCAATGTTGATTTTGTGGGATTATAGATAGGCAATCCCACCAGAAAGAAGAAAACCACCCGAAAGAAGATGAACGCGTCTTTCCCTATGGATTTTCAGATCTTTTTTACTCGGCAACCATAAACAAGAAAACAACCAGAAGATGTACGCGTCTTTCCGGCTTTGCTTTCTCTGGCTTGATATTTGACTCGGCATCCATGGATTTTCAGATCTGGATGCTATCGCGTCCTCTTCCATGTAAAGCTCCGGCCGGTCATCGTTGGAAAAAAAGCAACTTTCGTCTTCTCCGGCTTCGCGTCCTCTTCCATGTAGCGCTTCGTCTTCTCCGGCTTTCCTCTCTCTTTACTGCTGCCATGAAGCACTCACCGGACCAAATCGTCGGACCAAATAATCGGACCAAAGCTCCACAGGAATTTCACCGGACCAAAGCTCCAAACCTGTGCCGACCAACGCTCCAAAGCCCTGTGCCGAATTTCACCGTCAGATCTATGTTCCCCTAAGTCCGTTGAAATCTTTGGGAATAGCCACAGATTTGTCACTGAATTTTTCTTTAGAAAAATGGCTCCAAAATCCATCAAAATCTATTCATAATACAAATCTTTTTAAATCAATGGATTGTTAAATACTTTTAGATTTTGGTGGACTTTTAAAAATCTTGATTGAATACTCTTAAATTTTAAAAGATTTTATAAAATCCTAATTGAATACCCGCTGACTTTTAAAATCCAAAAAAATCCTAGAGAATCTGGATTGAATACACCCCCCTTAGATTAGGCTAGTTATCCTCTTACCTGTTGCATTTCATGGCACACGAAATAGACGATCATATTCTTGTACTAAAACAGAATATCAAAAGTTGTGAAATTGACACAATATTTTTTTCTCCAAAACGGAACTAAAATTTTTTATAACTTGCTATAATTTTTTTGTATTGCAATTTCTTTCTTGATCGATACTCTGAATTATTTTTAATAATTTAATATTATATTTTCTAAAAGTAGAAAATAAAGTTTGTAAATCATTAAACAAATCTCTAAAAACAGTATACTGTTATATTTCTAAAAATATTAATTTTAAATTTATAATTAAAAAAAGTAAAAAAAATTACTTAAAATAATTCCACCTTTCATTTATTTGCGAAAAACACACATTTCCTAGAAATTCCGTTAAATGGCCTTTAGTTTTTTAACAACGATCTAGAACTCGCACACATGCGGAAATGTAAGATTATTTCCGGTGACAGTGAAAAGTGTTTTTTAAAGAGCGCAAAAAGGTAGGATGATTTGAGATAATTTTTCTAAATAAAAAATAAAACTTACATATTTAAAATCAAGGTTTAAAGCTCTATAAAATAAGAGGTGACAAGAATATTTTATTTTATCAAATAATTGATGAAAATGTGAAAATAAAAAAAAATTCCCAAAATTTTTGAATGGTGAAGTGTTTACTCCGGAGTAATCTTTTAGGGGTGGGGAGAGAGAGAGTCTGTGTGTGTGTAGTAGACACACACGGAGTATGTATCAAGCGTTATCGCGGTTGGTGATGGACCTTCAAGGCCAGGTGGGGTCTGAATGTGTAATTTTTACGGAGTACTCCGTATAATTTATAGAGTCAAATAAATTAAATTAAAAACAAAGTTGATCGAAATTAAAAACGAAAAGAATATGCGTTGTCTTTTTTTAGCTGTTGGTGATGGACCCTCAAGGTGGGGTCTCAACTCTCAATGTGTCATCTTTTTTAGCTGGCCAGGTTTTAATTTGGAACCATGTTGCTTTGAATTGGGCTTATTATAATTTGTCGTTACTGGTTTGGGCCGCAGGGCCTACGTTCTTTACTCATAGTTTTTACGGAGTATATACTAATTCCGTAATTTAGTTTTAAATTTTTTTCAGCCCAAATTAATAAATTTTAATTATTATATAAATAAAATTGATATTATATATTGATATAGAATACTTTCAAATATTATTTTATCTAATTAATATAGCATATATTTTTTAATTATAGTTCAAACTTTGAAAATAATAACTGAAAAAAATCAAAGTTAGTTTTTTTCTTTTTGAATTGTATATGTCCAGCACTGCGTCTGCTTGCCATGTTCTGATTTGGCACCACGAGTATATGTTCATAGATAAAGCAGAGCATTAATTATTTCCTTGTAACACAAATACTCCTTCTAAAATAAATGTACTGCGTTGACTTTTAAAAATAAAATTGTTCTCATATGATAATTTTTTTTATAAAAGAAAGGTAATGAAAACACTCCTATAATATTTTCTAAAATCACCCTAAATAGGGGGGGAATATAGAAAAATTATCAAAATGGGAGTTTTTTGTTTTTATTTTCTAAATAGAAATTCACACTGATAATATGACACTATGCATGAACATTTCACAATACTTCTGGGAGAATAATATATATGGTCACGATTAGTATTGTACATGTATTTCTACTCCTGCTTTGGTAATAAAAATATAAAACTCTTATATTGATGTGTTTCAATGTTTTTACTCATACTTTAGTCTTTTTTCATAACATTTCTGTTTCTTAGTATTTATTCAGTATGAATATTTATTGAACTATAATTAAATAAATTTAACATGATATATTGATTAGATAAAATAATGCTTTAATTTGAAAAGTTTACTTCGTATAAAACAAATCCAACAAAATTATTTTTTATCAATATATAACTAATATCATTTTTATTTAATTAATTGTTAAAGCTTGTCAATATTGACTGTATAAAGTCAAAACTCTTGGTGATTTTAGTGTCATCGGATATTTTGTATAATTGAGTTTACTTAGATCAGACAAGAATTTGAATATACGTTAAACAATTTAGGTGGCACGGATTGCGCACTCGTTCAACGATATTACAAATTCATAGCGGGGTCCGGGGGCAGCAACCACCGGGTAGCAAGGTCCAAGAGGCGGCAGCCCATGGCGGGGTCTAAGGGGCAGACTCTAGATTTTCGTGAACGGAGACCAAAATATTAGAAAATTTTGGACTTCGGATAATGACCGATTTTGACCAAACTCTACCAACATTAACGTCCAAAAATTGGAAGTCTGCGATAATCCCTATCGCGCGAAAGTTTGCAAACTTTTACGCAAAAGATCATGTTTGATCGGTGACTTTCATCCCTTTAAATAGAAATGCTCGAGTATGGTTCAAGAGACAATTCAAAAGACTTGTTCTTGATTAACGTCTTATCCGATTGAAATATTTCATATACTCCGAAATAACTTTGATCTGAAAGTATTTTTACGCGATTAGTTATACTCTATCAAGTTATTTTTCTCACTCTTTGTTAACGATGCTCCGCAATGTTCTTCCTCTACAATATTTTCCTACAAAAATCCGACAAATTATATACTAATGGACAAAAATAGTTGTTGTTTTTGAGATATTCTCTTTAGAGATAGAGAAAATATATATTACTCCATAATTAGTTTGCGTACAACAAACACAATTTAGGTGGGTAATAAATTTTTGCGTTTCTTTGTCCTCTTCTTTCATTCTATAGAAAAATTAGTTCAGAGGAGCTACTTGTGACACCATTTTTACACCAAAGAAAAATTAGTTCAGAGGAGTAATATTTGTACAATAATACGGAGTAACTACCAATATGAAAGCATATTAGTTCTCCTTCCGCTCTAAAAAAATTCTAATTTTGACCAAAAATAAAAATAAGAAAGTGTTAAATTATAGTTAATTTTCAAATTTTTTCTTAGATGTGATGGGTAAAAGTGAGATGTGATGGATAAATTATTTAGAAAAAGCATGATGTGATAGGTAGAGTATGAAAAAAGTAAGATTAAAAGTAGTTTTTTTAATAGAAAATGGATGTGCTTTGGTGAAAAGTTAGCATTTTGAAAAGGTTATCAGACGATAGCTTTTAACGTTAGCATTTTAGAAACAATGTACATCATTAAAATTTTATCCAAAATGTTAATGCTAATCGAAAATAATGTTCTCAAAAATGGCCATAGACATCATCTTCAACATTTTCTAATGATATTTGACAAAAATTATTCCCAATGTAATTAAATCAACAGGAGTGTAAACTTTAAAACAAAATAAAAATATACATGGTATTAAAACTTTGCGTATCTAAATATTTCCTCCGTCTAAAAAATAATCTTCTCATTTACTATTTACATGGTCAAGTTTTATTGACTTTATTGGTCTGTTTTTGATGTCCATATGATAAAACAATAGCATGTCAACTCTAGTTTTGTATTCCATCTGTTTCTTTCAAGGCAAAATAAGAAAAGTTTATTTATGGGTGACTTTCTTATTTTGCCCCTAATGTGATGAATAAAAATAAAATGAGATAGTTAGATTATTAGTGAAAAAATATGATGTGATAGGTAGAGCATGAAAAATTAGATGTATTTTAAGAATATGATGTGATAGGTAGAACATGAAAAATATAATGGTTTTTTAATAGAAAGTAGATGTATTTTAAGAAAATGAAAAGAATGAAAGAAAAAGGGTTTATTGCGTCGGAGGGAGTAGATTTTTTTATGTAGTTTTGAAATATGTAATTTTATTTTTTAATCTCACACTATTTTTCCTATAAAATGGTTGAAAAATAACTTTAATCAAACATCGTAACGCACGATGAAATATTATTATATATTGGAGAGAGGGAGTAATTAGATTAGATGTGCCCTATATAAGTATAGTACGAGTATTTTAGCAAATAATATAATGTATGAGAATAATATATCTAAAAAAAGATTGTTGGACTAATAAATACTCCACCAGTTGTTTTAGGGATAATTTACATAAATATGACTAAAACATAATGACTTTCTCAATATAAGATTATACTCCCTTCGTCCCAAATAAAAATGTTACATTTCATTTTTGTGCGCATCACAAAAAGCACGGCTACTCACATCTAAAAATTCTAAAATTTACCATATTTACTCTTTATTATAAGATGAAATTGTTTTGAAAGTTTTTTTGGCATTTGAGACGATATAAAAGTGTTTTAAGTGATGTGCAAAAAATGAAACGTAACATTCTTTTTGGGACGAAGGGAGTATATTTTTATTTCCCAATGTAGGAACATTGATAATTATCTATTAGTCATTATTCAACTTAATATTCAGCATCACTCGAACATTATTCTTTTTACTAGTCATTATTAAGTCTTATTTATGGAATAAAAAAATTTAAATTTTACATTAAAAAATGACTTATGTTTTAGTCGGTACAAATTTCAATAAAACTAATGTTGTGTGGAATGCTCCACAAATTAAGAAGCAAATATTTTATGGGCCCAAAGGGAGGAGCATAAAGATTTGTGAATTTGGGAGGAATGCTTAGCTTGATCATGTCATGGCCTCCATCATTATAAAAGCCGCATAACTATATTTAACTACTGTATGTATATAGGCATATATGCAGGTTAATTAATAGTTAGGTGCATAGAATGGCGGAAGAGGCACTCTCCGGCGGCGATTTCAATGTAGTGTGGGAACGTCTCCGGTCAAGTGTTGTCCAATTCGTCAAGCTCTGTCTCCTCCTGTTCTTCTTCTTCTTCGGATCCTTCTTCATTTTAATTATCAATAATAATAGTAATAGTAATTATTATTATTATTACCCGAATCACCTGGCTGCAGCAGTTACGTGTCTCCTCCTCCTCCTGATCTTGCTCTGGGTGGTCACAGGCCGGCGCCGCCGTCCGGAGATATACGTGGTGGACTACGTGTGCTACGAGCCACCGAGCTGCTTCAGAGTCCCCTTCTCTGCGTTCAGGGAGCATCTCCACCTGGCCGGCATCTTCGACCCAAAATCCGTAGCCTTCATGGACAAGATCGTGAGCCTGTCGGGGCTGAGCGAAGAGACCCGCCTCCCGCCGGCGCTGCGCTACATACCTCCGAGGTCGGACCACGCGGGTGCGATGGAGGAAGCCCGGATGGTGCTGTTCCCCATCTTCGAGCAGCTGCTGTCGGGCAACGGGCTGTCCCCCAGGGACGTGGACATCCTGGTGGTGAACTGCAGCGGGTTCTGCCCGGACCCGTCCCTGGCGTCGATGGTCGTCAGCAGGTTCGGCATGAGAGAGGACGTCAGGTGCTTCAACCTCACCGGAATGGGGTGCAGCGCCAACACGGCGGCGGTGGACATGGTGAGGAACATGATGATGGCGTCGTCGTCGTCCCACCCGCACCGCCGGGCGTGCAACGCTGTCATTCTCAGCACCGAGATCTTGTCCACAGGTATGAATTGAATGAGACCGATATGGTTACCCGTTGTTAGGTCATCAACATTAATTAACCTTAGCTTATCACACAGCCTAGCCTGGATTTGAATAATTAATTCAAATAAGGATTTCAATTCGCCACATGTGCTTAATACTACTACTACTATACCCGCTACCCCCCATCATATCATTGAATAGTACTCCGTATTTATCTTATTGCAACTGGCCACAACATAAAAAATTGCTGCCGGAAACAAGGCGCGCCGAGCTGGGAAGCCATTGCAAAACAACCGGTGCAGAAGCATGCGCGGCACCCCGCTGGTCGTGAAATGCGGCGGATCCGGACGAGCCACTGTCCATTGCAACCGACGGCCGCACCTCATGATGTGTATTTCCAACAACGGCAAGACGGTGTTGGACATGGAGGGCATTATACAAAACCATATTTCGGAATATTTAACTCCCTCGGTCCCATTAAAATAGAAATTAAGAAATGGATAATTTTGTGTTGACTTTCCAAAAGTACCTTTGATGTGATGAGTAAAATTATAATGTGATATGTAGATTATTAGAAAAAAAGGTATGATGTGATAGGTAGGGTTTGAAAAAGTAAGGAGTAAAAGTGGTTTTTTAATAGAAATGGGTAGGAGATTGGACATTAATAGCATGTCATAAAACGAATTTATTGGGCTTGTATGTAGGCACGGCGGTTTCCGTGCCAAACTAAATGCCTCTGCAAGTGTGTCAGGCATTTGTCTAGGATTGAAATTAAGCACGGCTATTTCCATGACAAAACAGTCTTGTCCTTTTCGATTTTGAATTTTATGAGAAAGGTAGGGAATTGGCACAACTAAATCCGTGCCTATTGGTTAGAATAAACGTCGTCCGACAACACCGTTAACTTCTTAACGTTTACGCTATTGGCACGACATTTGGCACGGAAAAATGCTAAGCCAAATTGAGACGCAAATAGAAACACGCCATGTGGCTACTTTCTTTTTTTCGGCATAGTCACGGCATGTCCTCAACTAGAAAATAATGTTCATAATGTTCCAGATCAATGGCTGTAAAAAAAGAAAATATAAGTCATGAAAAAAGAGAATCAATCAATAGAGAAAAAAATATAAATCATATTATATACCGACTACAAAATGGTTAAGATATAAGGATATTTTAGTAAATTGATATTTTTAATAATTAATGAATCAATTAATTTATTGTTAGTTTTGGAGAAAAAACTGAATCGGTCCCATTTGGAGAGAAATGAGGAGTATAAAGTTTTGGTGTTAGTTGGACCAAATTTCACATTGATTAATGACGAATTATTTCTCCATTTTTCTTGAAAAAATCAAAACTGGGACAAATATTTTGGAAGATGGTATAAATTGTTGAATCCCTGGTAGACTTCCAAATGAGGTTTTAAGTTAAGCATGAGAATCACAAGTACTACTCCCTATGTGGAGTAGATTATTTGTCCAATCTTAATGATGAAATGAACATCGATCAGGTTGGTATCCCGGAAAGGAGAGGGCCTTCATGGTGCTCAACTGCATTTTCCGGATGGGCGGCGCCGCCGTGCTGATGAGCAACAAAAGGGAAGCCAAGAGGACGGCCAAATACAAGCTCGTCTGGACCCTGAGAACACAGGGCGCGTTCGACGACCGGCGTTACAGCGCCGCCTACCGCGAAGAGGACTCCGAAGGGATCACCGGAATGAGGCTGAACGGCGACGTCCTCTACGTGGCCGGCGAAACCCTTCAGTCCCACATCCCCATTCTCGGCGCCAGATTCCTCCCCTATACCGAGATACTCCTCTTTCTTGCTTCCACGTTGAAGAAGAAGTTTCTTGACAAGTCCGCGGAGATATACGTCCCCAATTTCAAGTCGGCGATACAGCATTTCTGTTTTCCGGCGACCGGAAAGTCGGTCGTCCGGGAGACGGCGAAGAGGCTGAGGCTGGGAGAGGAGGATATGGAGCCGGCATTGATGGCAGTGTACAGGTATGGGAACCAATCGTCGGCGTCACTGTGGTACGAGTTGGCTTACTTGGAGGCTAAAAACAGAGTGAAGAAAGGGGACAGGATTTGGCAATTGGGTATGGGCACTGGGCCCAAATGCAATAGCATTGTCCTCCAGTGCTGTCGGCCCATTTCCGGAGAGACCCCTCGTAACAATCCATGGGCCGATTGCATTCACAAATATCCCGTTACAATTCCTTAGAAATATTTGTCCTGAAAAAATGAATATGCGGTTTAAATTGGGAACTTGTGTGCAGGTGGAACCCAGTGGTGTGAATTATGATTAGTAAATTCATATACATGTTTATAGGGTAAAAATCATTTTGCACTGCATAAAAGTTAAAATACATCCTCAGAATTGTGAAATGTTATAATGCACCCTCAAAAAGTTTTCTTTCTCTGGTTTTAACTCTTGACCTCAATTTTATTCTTTTCTTTTGAAGAAACAAAGCGTAAAGTTGTCCGCTTACTCTTAAAATAAAATTGTAGGGTTTGAACACCTAATTCCCCACCTTCAAAGTTGTCAGTAGAAGAAGAAGAAGAAGAAGAAACAATTCTCAAATAGATAAAAAAATGTGCTCCATTTGAGTTTTGTTGAATGCATCTGATTAATGGAATGCCTCTGGAGATAGCAATAGTTACAAATGGCGAAGAATATGGATATTTCATTTGGAGAAATCTGGTTTTGGGGTGAGTGAATTGCTTTCACGAAGCATTAAAAATTTAACGGAGGGATTAAAACCGAACAAATCAACAGCAAAACCAAATTACCAAAAAAACACCTAATTGGCGACGAGCAAAGTAGTAGAACACACGATGAAGCTGAGAAACCAACAACGAAGAACACTAGTTTTCCAGATCCTCGACACGAGAGAAACAAACGGCGGCGACAAGACAATTTTACATTTTTACCCTTTGTTTCTTCCGGAGAAAAGTATGGAAATGGCCTCCAGAGGTGAAATGAGAGAGAGTAATTTTTTTAAGGGTGCAATAAAATATTTAACAATTGTGGGGGTGCATTTTATCTTTTATGTACCTTTTGAGGGTGCAAATTGATTTTTTCCCCATGTTTATATGTGCGTCTTGTTTTGATTTGAAGAGATTTTATTAATAAAAATGGCATACTTCTTTATCCGTCGCAATATTATGTCTTTCCTGCATTCTATTTTTTACTATAAACTTGTTTTTCATGTCATAGAATTGGAGCTTGAAACTACACTCCAACATTTTGTTAGTTATCACAAAAATATGTAAAATTGGAATTGAAATCTAATTTCAAATCCTCTCATTTTCACGTTTTTAATTCCATAACACAAGAAAAATAATTAAGATATCCACAATTTAAATTCTGTGGTTTAAAGTAAAATCACTAGAATTTTTTTATGAATCATAACAAAGAAACCAACTTGACGGACTTTTGGTACGCGTTTAAATGATTTTGGTTGTCTTTTGGCTTCTTTATTTGACAAATCAAAGAAGATTCGTAGTTGACTTTCTACACACTAAAATATAATGACTTTTCTTAAATATTTCAAAGGGCGTTTCTCCCATGCCCAATCAAATGAGGGGGCATGGATACCCCTCCATACTAGAAATTATAGTATGATCCTATCTAATTTCTTCTTATTAGTTCTTCTCTTCTATTATCACATTTCATTACAGAGTACGTATTAGGAGTTATTACTCCATTTAATGCTTTCAAAAAAGAAGTTTATCACCCCATTTTTTACATTCTCTTAAGTTGCATTTCGTTTAACTTGTTTTTTCTATTTTATTATTTATTTTTATTAAATTTATATTATATCATAATAGATGAGATGCACTCAAATAAGATGTAATTAAATCATATCTTCAAATCAGATCAGACTATATCATATCCTCTCTATTCAGATCAGACAAGATTTATTTAAAAAATATTGAAAAGCAATTTTATTGTTTTGTCTATGATTAAATAATGATTACTTAATAATTATTACATTATTTAAGGTCACATATAATTCAATAATAATTACTATTAAAATATAAATAAAATAAAAAAATTAATATTTTTTTAGCACAATAACAATGTTACATATGGATAAATGATGCTCATTATTATTATTATTATTATTATTATTATTATTATTATTATTATTATTATTATTATTATTATTATTAAAATAATAATACTACCTTTGTCTTTCCAAAAAATACTACCTTTGTCCCTAAATTATTCTTTTCTTTCAAAAAATACGTAAAATAAATGGAGAAAAAGATATTTTATTTTATCAGATAATCAACAAAAAAGTGACAATATTTATGGATGGAGGGATTAATAGTTTCAATAATACGTACTATTATCTTCGTCTTATAAAAATTACTTATTTTCTCTTCACAAATAATAAAAAAGTAAAAAATGATATGAATATTTAAAAGTAAGTGGTTAAAAACCTTATTTACGCACTACAAGTATACATTTTCTTTTTCTACAAGTGTATTTTTTGTATTTTTCATATATTTTTTCTATTCTATTTTTTTAAATTGTCTTTCACTATTCCTTGTTGTCTTTTTAAACGTCTCAAAAAGTTTTTCTTTTTATTTCAAAAGACAAAAAAATAAAGACAATGAATTTTAGTTTCTTCATTTCATTTACTTTTTATATCTAATAGAAACAATATTGATTTTTAAAATAATTTCAAAAAAAATTCAAAAAAATAAAAAATGAACAAAAAATAAGATATTGACTTCGATGTCGTGTGATTTAAAAATTAGACATTAATCCCCCTCTTCGCCGAAAAAATGAACGGGAAAAGTTACAGGGAATGTCTATGCGGCGCTTAGAAATCATAAGAGATCGAAAAAGACTAAAGTATGAGTAAAACATTAAGAATATATCAAAATAAGAGTTCCATGTTCCATATTTTTATTCCTGAAATAAGAGTTAAAATGTATTTACATTATCAATCATGATCATATTTATTACAAAAAAGTATAGTAAAATATTCATGTGCAATGCTACATAACCACAATGCGAACTTCTATTTAGAAGATAAAAACATGAAACTCCTATTTTCATATTTTTTGTATGTTTTATTCTAATTTAGGGTAATTTCTAAAATAATAAAGATTATTTTAAAAATAAGTTTTAAAAATAGAGAGAATGTTGGTCTCTATTTTTTTCTAAACCACGAGAGACTAGAATTATTACTCTATTAGGCCTTTTCTATTTAATTTTGCTTTTAATGAAAAAATGTAGTGAAAAAAAATATGACGAAAGCAACAAGTTAACGAAATGTGAATATGTGATAAAGGAAGGGAAGAACTAACAAGAAGAAATTAGATAGAGCCATACTATAATTTCTAGAATTTAAAATGATGTGGAGTCTCTTACTTAATTTGTACACATGGCAGCAATTTGATGGAGGGGTATCCATGCCCTCTCATTTGCTTGGGCATGGGAGAAACGCCCTATTTCAAAATCTAATTGCTTTTTGTAACATGTGCGGCCAGTACAACTCCCAGTGACCACTATATACGTTAGAGTGTTGATTTAGTAATCCAACTCAATTGAATAATTGTATACATGGGTGTTTATATAGGTGAGGATCCCTACATGAATTAGGATTCACCAAATATGTACACTAATATAAATAACACTTCTACCATAACTACACTTCTTGCCATATATGCCTAACATCCCCCCTCAAGCTGAACGTCGTGAAACGAGAGGAAGCTTGGCAACCAGTGTGGAGTAGCGTGCTGAAGCGAGAGCCTTTGTGAGAAGATCCGCTAACTGCTCACTGGAAGGAACATAGGAGACTGCCATTTTTTCGGCAATTACCTGTTCGCGTACAAAGCGACAGTCAGTGCCGACATGCTTCATGCGTTTATGGAACACTGGATTCTTGGTTAGACAGATGGTGGACTGGTTGTCGCAGAGTAGGTGTGGAGGAGGTAGCTTAATCTGCAAAATGTCAAACAAATAGGTGATCCACATCACCTCAGCTGCTGCGGCCGAGAGGGCCCTGTACTCGGCCTCGGTGGATGAGCGAGACACACGACTCTGTTTTTCCGTACTCCAAGAGATTAAATTAGGCCCAAGATATATCAAATAACCTGTAACAGACCGTCCATCTGTCATATCATTGGCCCAGTCCGAATCAGAGTATGCATTGATGGTTTGTGAGCCACGCCGAAATATTAACCCATGGTCAATGGTCCCCTTGACATAGCGGAGGATGCGTTTCAACGACTGAAAGTCCTGCTCAGTAGGTGCATGCATCCTTTGACAAACATAGTTGACAGCAAACTGAATATCCGGGCGCGTATTTGTCAAATATTGAAGAGAGCCAACCAAGCTACGGAAGAAAGTGGGATTCTCAAATGGGCGGCTTCCCCCCCTCCTCGGACTGCCGTACAGGTAGGGGTGTGGGTGCCGGTTTGCAGTCTTCGACTCCCGCCTTATGGAGGAGTTCACAGGCATATTTTTCCTGGGATAGAATCAGCTGGCCCTGTTTGCGTGTCACCTCAAGCCCAAGAAAATAATGGAGATGACCAAGATTCTTCATTTGAAATTCCGTTTGCATGGCTTGAATAAATGAGGAAATAAGAGAAGAGGCACTCCCAGTGACAATAATATCATCAACATAAAGGAGAACAATGAGGATGCCGGAGGGGGAGTGCTTGACAAAGAAGCTTGTGTCATGTTCATTTTTTCCAAAACCATAGTCAACAAGGAACCCAGAGAGACGTTGGTACCAAGCCCGTGGCGCCTGCTTCAATCCATAAAGAGATTTCCTCAATTTGCACACATAATGAGGATACTGCTGATCGATATACCCCGGAGGCTGCTTCATATAAATTTCATCTGGAATGACACCATGAAGAAAGGCATTGGAGACATCCAATTGGTGAAGGGGCCAGTTCTGACTTACGGCTAGTGAGAGAACGACTCTAATATTTTGCTGTTTGACCACAGGGCTAAAAGTCTTAGAGTAGTCCAAACCATATTCCTGTGTATAACCTTTGGCCACAAGACGGGCCTTGTACCTGGAAACAGAACCATCAGCATTATGCCTAATTTTATAAATCCACCTACATCCAATAGGAGACCGGTCTGGAGGTGCCGGAACAAGCTCCCATGTGTGTTGATCAAGCAGGGCTTTATATTCGTCATCTATAGCCTGGCACCATTAACTGTTTGGGGAGGCTTCTTTGTAGGTAACATGCTCGGTAGTAGGTGGGGAAGATGTGAAGGATGTGGAGTAGAGCTTAGGTTTGAAAATGCCACTTCGTGCACGAGTGGTCATCGGGTGCCGGATGGGCGGGGGAGGGGTGAGGGAATAGGTGTGGATTCGGGACTTGTCATGATTGGGGAGAGGGTTCCAAATTGGATAGGTGTGGGAGGTGAGTGGGGCTGGTTAGGCTGGGTGGAGTGGGTTGCCGTGTGGGGCTGGGGGCTGGAAGTGGGGGTCGGGGTGGTGTGTGGGTGGCGGGTAGTGGGTTGGTTGGCTTGGGTACTGGAGGCGGGCTGGGTGGGTTGGTTTCGGACAGGTGAGGGGCTGGGCGGGTTTCGGGTATGGGGCAGGCTGGGCTGGGTGTGGGTAAATGGTGGCATTGGCGGGTTTCGGGTAGGCAATAGGTTGGGAGTTGGATGGGGTGGTGTAGCCTTGTGAGCATGTGGCGGAGTACCCGACGACGCTAGAGGGAAGATGGGAAGGACACCGAGGAATGACGGAGAAGGAACTGGAGACTTTATATGGGGAGAGACTGTGGAGTATGGAAATTGACTTTCTTGGAACTGAACATGACGAGATATGTATATGCGACCGGAGGTGATATCAAAACAGCGATACCCCTTGGAGGAGGAATCGTACCCAAGAAAGACACAAGGTTTGGACCGGGGCTGGAACTTATTTGTGATTTCGTGGCGTAGACACGGGTAGGCTAAGCAGCCAAAGACTCGGAGAAGACTATAGTCTGGGAATTTTTGAAACAGAGACTCAAAGGGAGATTTGTGATTAAGAGACCTTTTTGGCATGCGATTGATCAGGAAATTGGCAGTAGCCAACGCCTCGACCCAAAATTTAGCTGGGAGATTGGCAGTGCAGAAAAGTGTGACAAGAGTTTCGACAAGTGACGATGCTTTCTTTCAGCGACACCATTTTGTTCAGGAGTATATGGACAGGGTTTTTGGTGAAGAATCCCCAAGTTCTGTAAAAATAACCCAAACTTTTTATTGACATATTCCCGCCCATTATCTGTGCGAAAGAGTTTAAGGTGCGCATTGAACTGAGTACGAACCATGGATTGAAAACTTTGAAAAGCATCAAACGCATCAGATTTATTTTTAAGAGGGTACAACCAACAGAACTTGGTATAATCATCAATAAAATTAATGTAAAAATGATATCCCCCAAAAGAGGGTACAGAAGTAGGTCCCCATACATCAGAATGAATAAGTTCAAACGGAGCAGATGTTTTAGTATCTGACACTGGGAAGGGGAGTTTATGGGACTTAGCAAGAGAACATGAATTACAATGATCAAGATGCTGAAACTTAAAACCTAATTGAGACAATAAGGACTGAGTGACTTGACTTGAGGGATGACCAAGACGGCAGTGCCATTGATACGGAGTGACTTTGACGGAGTTGACCACCAGAGACGAACTTGATGCCGGTATGGAGTACATGCCACACTCACAAGGACCCTTGAAAAGGACTTGATTGGTTAGGTTGTCCCGAATCGTAAAATCCTTAGAGGTAAAAAGAAGAGAGCAGTTATTATCTTTAGTAAATTGATGAACAGAAAGAAGATGGGAATTAATGTGAGGAGAATGAAGGAGATTGGATAGGTGAAAATTATGGTGGGGTGTGGTTAATATACCTGAGCCTGTATGGTCAATAGGATATGTGTTACCTCCCGCAGTTGTGATGGAGTTGGTGCCATGATATGGTGACATAGAATTCAGCCAAGATAGATCAGACGTGACATGAGTGTTTGCGCCAGTGTCCAGGTGCCAGTTCGAACCAGATTCAGCGGATTGATTTGCATAATACGCCTGCGGAGGACCAGTGTATGATTCGTCGTAGCGGTGCCAACAATTCCAGACCGCATGGCCAGATTTCCCACACAGCTGGTAGGTGATGGACACCCCTCGGCCACCTCCTCTGCCGCGGGCGTCGTCATGGTACTGCGGCTGCCGTCCGCCTCTGCCGCCGGGTTGACTGCCGCGGTAAGGCCCTCCTCGACCTCGCGGTGGTCCTCGGCCATGACCTCTACCATTGCCTCGTCCGGAATTAGTGAAAAGTGCATTATGAATGTCAACGGACGAAGTAGAGTCGGAGTCACCCAGAGATAATTTTTTCTCAAAAGATAAGTTCAATTCTTCGGACAGCAACCAAGAGGAGACCTGATTAAACGTGACGGTGGCAATATTGGTGCGAATATTTTGCTTGAGGGAGGCATAGTCGGCCGGTAGACCGCGAAGAACGCAGAGAATAATATCTTGTTCAGAAATTTCTTCATGAGCCAGTTTTAGAGACGACACAATCGTGAGAACAGTGTCCAAATAGGATTGCATCGAATCGGTCCCTTTAGTGACACCATGTAGTCGCTCCTTCAGTTGAAAAATATGAGTTCGGGAAAGAGAATTGTACCGTTGTTCTAGATGATTCCAGATTGCAGCCGAGGTGGGAAGAGCATGAATATGTGTTTGAACCGTGGGTGAGACAATAGCAAGGAGACAGGCCCGAATTTGAGCATCAATAATATTCCAGGATTCATAGGCCGGATTTGGTTTCATGACCGGCGGTTCATCCTTGCCAGGTGCCGCAGCCTTCTCATCAAGGACAAAAGACGGAGGAGATGGTTCAGACCCATCCACATAGCCGAGAAGACGATGAGCGAGAAGATTTGCACGGACGGTAGCCGACCAAGAGAGATAATTGGTGTCATCAAGCTTGACCGGGGTGAGAGATTGAAGATTCCGGACAAACAACTTGAGACCCGTAGGAAGACAATCCATAGGATCAGACGAGGAAGAGGCCATGGCTGTGCACGGCGTGATCGACAGTGGAGGAATCGGCTCTGCCGATTTTTTTCGGTGATTAGCGCAGCAAAGGAAGAGAGAGGTTAGGATCTTTGTGCTCTGATACCATGTTGATTTAGTAATCCAACTCAACTGAATAATTGTATACATGGGTGTTTATATAGGTGAGGATCCCTACATGAATTAAGATTCATCAAATATGTAAACTAACATAAATAACACTTCTACCATAACTACACTTCTTGCCATATATGCCTAACATAGAGCATTGTTCACGAAGAGGTAACAAGTTCAACTACCATAACGTCACCAAATTAAAGCTCCACTCTCTTCACGCATTATCGTATTCTACATATACTTACCTAGCTAGCCATATAGTGTAGGTGTAGAATACAAATATAGATAGAATGGCGGTGGAATTCCCGGCGGCCGGCAGCGATTTCAAAGTGCGGGAACGACTCCGGTCAAATGTGGTAGAAGTGGTCAACCTCTCTCTCCTTGTGCTCTTCTTCTTCCTCGTGGAATTTTCCTTCGCTGTCGTCATCCTAAATCATAATGCTACGGCGGCGGCAGGAGTTAGTTGTTGTGTCTTGACGACGACGACCCTGCTCCTGCTCTACTACGCCTCCGTCGCCGTCCTCGGCCGTCCGGCGATTTACGTGGTGGACTACGTGTGCTACAAGCCCCCGAGCTGCCTGAGAGTTCCCTTCTCTTGGTTCCAGGAGCACCTCCCCGTGGCCGGCATCTTCGACGGGAACTCCATAGCCTTCATGACCAAACTCCTAAGCCTGTCCGGGCTGAGCGAGGAGACCTACCTGCCACCGGCCCTCCACTACATGCCTCTGAGACCGGCCGACAACCACCGGGAAGCCATGGAGGAAGCCCGGATGGTGCTGTTCCCCATCTTCGAGCAGCTGCTGTCGGGCAACGGGCTGTCCCCCGGTGACGTGGACATCCTGGTGGTGAACTGCAGCGGGTTCTGCCCGGACCCGTCGCTGGCGTCGATGGTCGTCAGCAGGTTCGGCATGAGAGAGGACGTCAGGTGCTTCAACCTCACCGGAATGGGGTGCAGCGCCAATACGGTGGCGGTGGACATTGTGAGGAACATGATGGTGGCGTCGTCTTCCCGCCCGCGCCGCCGGACGTACAACGCTGTCATTCTCAGCACTGAGATCTTGTCCACAGGTATGGTATGGTATACTGGATCCGACCGACGGTATGGCAATATGGTATGGTCATCTATCACTGCATGCATGTGGGGTCATGAACATTAACTAATTTTTAATGACTAATCGAGGAAGGGATATGAATAACCCATACCACAAACACCTCACTCATTCAATTCTTACTTCAGTCCAAAAGATGGAATAGCCCATGCATCCTTGCTAGGGGCCCCCACCTCCTGGTCCGTGGTCCGACAGAGATGGTGGAGGAGATAAATCACGGTGACTCAGTCGGTTAAGAACGCTAAGTTCGTGCTCACCGCGCACAAGGAGCCTCTTACTCTTTATGAAATTTTTGTGTAGCTCCCACACTGTCGCTTGCGTGACTCAATCCCTGATTATCGGTCCAAGATTTCACGTTCTCGACCGATTCTTACTTAATACTTGCACTACTCATTCATTTACTTTCATTATAATTTAGTACTTAAATTTTTTTAATTTCTAAATACTACCTGAATAATGTCTAGTAGAAGAACAATGTTCAATTATGATAATATTTAGTTTGAACAATTAATGTCCGCAGGATTTTTATTGACCAATAGACAATGACTAATGATACGACATTAAGAAATAAAAACAATTGCTACTACATTGGAAATTATCATTTAGGTAAATTCACCTTCCTCTACTTGTCTAGTTTTACATTTTAGGGAGACTATCATACTTTAATAAATTTATTTCAAAGAATGGAGAGTATGAGATTCTAGGGAGTAATCTTATTTGTTCTTTTTCCTTAAAAAAATCATTTGTCCTCTTTTTTTAAACGGTGCTCAACACCATTTTCCGGGATACCAACCTGTTAAATAATCTCGGAGATATACGTGATACCAACCTGTTAAATTTAAACGGAAGAAGAAGTTTCTTGACAAGTCCGCGGAGATATACGTCCCCAATTTCAAGTCGGCGATACAGCACTTCTGTTTCCCGGCGACCGGAAAGTCGGTCGTCCGGGAGACGGCGAAGAGGCTGAAGTTGGGAGAGGAGGATATGGAGCCGGCATTGATGGCAGTGTACAGGTTTGGGAACCAATCGTCGGCGTCACTGTGGTACGAGTTGGCTTACTTGGAGGCTAAAAACAGAGTGAAGAAAGGGGACAGGATTTGGCAATTGGGTATGGGCACTGGGCCCAAATGCAATAGCATTGTCCTCCAGTGCTGTCGGCCCATTTCTGGAGAGACCCCTCGTGACAATCCATGGGCCGATCGCATTCATAAATATCCGGTTACAATCCTTTAGAAAATAAAATGGATAATATCCCGTTCAAACATCAATTCCAAACTCGGGTTCGGGTGCACCCAGTGAGCTAAGCTGCTAAGGCACACACTTTCGTATATGATCTTTAAAATAAAGATGTGAACTTCTAAAGATCTTAAGCAATGTATTCCCTTAAGTTCAAATTTGTTAAGTTGCACAATCATTACCACTTTGTTCAGATTAAATGATGATTTCCAGAAATGTACCGTCCTAAAGTTAACTACTCATTTGTTTTTTATTTTTTATTTTTTTATGGTCTACCGTGCGAAATTTTGACCATTAGTGACTCTAAAGAGTATTTCTAAAGATGAAATATAGTGAGCCCATAATTCAAAAATTTGATATACCTAGGTATCACATTCCTAACAAATATGAGTGTTATAGTATCTTTCAAATTTAATATAATCATGAAAGAAATTACCACAAATGATAATTATTCGTGAATTTGTACAAATACTGACGGTGATCGCCCTTGAACACAACACATAAATTTTCAAACGATTATTACTTTTATATACAAACTCATAAAAGATTGTCACTTGTGACATGAAACGTAGTAAGTTCCTAGTATTTTTATTTGATTTAAATGAAATTGGGAGTTTGGTATTTCTCTCAAATCTTGACAACCTCTACAGCGGCTCTACCACTTGCCACGTACCACCTTGGTTGGTAACCTGAAGCCGACAGACTATCGTTTATCACTAATAATCATCAATTCAAATCTCTATGATAGGTTTGAACATTTAAATTTGATTCAAATTTTATGCTTGACAATCTAAAAAAAATTAAATCTAGATTTTGAATCAAATATTTCTAATTTATAACAATTCACAATTTGAAATTTACATCCCCTTCACTGTCATATGAATTTCAAGAATATATTCTTTAAAATTGAAATACAAGAATAAAAAGAAATTGATAGTTCAAATGCACTACCTTAAATATTTTTGTTTCAAATTTCAAAACAAATATAATAGAGAGTAACAAATATAATGGTATCAAACGAGTTTATTGTACTACAACCTTTTGTGGTTTGGTAAATGTGTCCTCTTATCCCCATATGGTTTCAAAATTTATATCTCTCAAATATTATGAGCATAACTTTGCTCCCTTACGATTTTAGAAATTGGCACAAATGCTCCCACTTTTCTTTATTGTTATCATGTGCATAAAAATGTTATTAATATTTAATTAACTATATATTTAAAAAAAGTTACTCGGTATTATTTTGTTCCTTACAAATTCAAACAAATAAAAAAAATTTAAACAAAAAATGAAAACATTTAATTTGACAAGTGAAATATATGCTAATTTTTTTATTTTAAATACAAACATATTTATATTTTTTAATTTTTTTTAAGAAACTGAGGTTTGAAAAATAATTTTTCATTTCTTCACACACAAATATTTTTTTTCTCTTTACGATTTAAATAAAACAAAAACAATAAAGAAAAAAGAAAGAAGGTGTTGAGACCTATTTCCAAAACTAAATGGAACAACAGAGTTATTTATCTAATACTCCGTATTTAACGAATATTTCTATACAATGGGAATTGATGTAATAGAGAGAGGTAAGGTAACAAGGTAAATTTTAAAATCACGAGGAATTACTATACACATTTACTAAAGTAGTGCAATAAACTCGTATCAAACGTCTAACATTCTAAATGTGAATATGTCAAATTAGCGACCTTCCATCGCCACATCTGCTACTGTCCCACAAAATACCCAGCATCAACAACAACCCGACCCGCACAGACCCATTTTCTGTCCTCCATTAATGTTGGTTTCTTTTCCCTTCGTCTTCAGTCTTATCGCACAAAAAACAACAATTGCATAGAAGAATGGAGCCGTGACGGCGGAAGGCAAGTAAACAATTTCAGTACCCCGTTCAAATTCGCTCTCCGGCGATCAGTTTAAACTAATTTCAGTCCCCTCTCCCAATTAATGCCTCCCTCCAGCTCAGCGTCACCGGCCAAGAATCCGTCGGCGCATCGGAGAGAACGGTTGGACTCTCCGCCCCGGAAGAAAATAAAGCCGATGATTGAGATCATGGCGGCAGCCAAGCAGGCGCATCTGGAGGAGGATCGCCGGCTAGACGCCGGGAAGGACTACGAAAACTTGATATGCGAACAATGCGGCTCCGGCGAAAACGAAAACGAGATTCTGCTATGCGACAGATGCGATAAGGGTTTCCACATGCTCTGTCTTAGCCCCATTGTCGTGCGGGTCCCTATCGGCCTGTGGTTCTGTCCTGCCTGCGCCGCTGATCATCGCCGCCCTCTCAAAGGTGCGCAAAAAACAATCCGCGCATACGACCGTCATGCATGTTTTTGAATTTTTACTGTTCTGTTTTGGCTGTAGTGTTTTCCCAGAAGAAGATTAATGATTTCTTTCGAATCCAGAAAAGCACCCATCTTGCTGTAAAATGTGTATCCCCTCAAGGTAAAAGAAAGTATAATTTCTACTCCCTATATGATATGATGATCATCATCATTGCCAAAGATACAAACTTTAAAAAAAAAAATTGATTTAAAATCCTAGTATTACTTGTTGGGCCATGTGTAATCCATTGAGGGTCTTTGTGGTTCCATATACATGTTTGATCCCTCTCCTAGGTATGCCATTTTGGTTGGTAGTAATCTGCATTTTCTACTCAACTCTTGCCTAATATTCTGTTTTCATTTTGAAAGACTGCTAACCAAAATGCTTTTAATCACTTTGATATATTTTATTCATCATAAGTTTCCATTTTAACAACAGTACAGTCTTTAATTTATGTTGCAATGTACGGTACCGAGTAAATTCTGTTGTGGTAATTGTATCCAAAATTACAGTTGTGAAGTTGCCCTGCAGCTTTGCATCTATGAAGGCAAAGAAGGCTCATCTTTAAATATAGATATGGTGTCAGACCCAAGAGAATAAAAGAAGGATGACATACTCTTAAACTGTGCTTACCTCGCCCCAAAAAATGATTCTCAATAGGTGTCGTTTACTCCACACTTACATAGTGGACTCAAATCAAGTAGAGTGGGATACTCAACACACCCCTCAGCCCAGGCTACACAACGAAAAAGTGGACAAACTGACCTCAAAATGAGCTGTCCCAAACCATTCAGTAACACCCCCCCCCCCCCCCC